GCTGCGGCGGCGGCGCTGGGGACGGCCGCGCTCGCTGGGCCGAGATCTCGAGGAGCTCTTGGCCTCGGATCGAGGATTGAGTCCTTCTGGGCCTCGGTTCGGGGATTGAGTCCTTCTGGGCCTCGGTTCGGGGATTGAGTCCTTCTGGGCCTCGGACTGGGGATCGAGGGTCGAGGACTTCAGGACGTTAATTGGGGGGGCGAGCATCGAGGGCTTCCGGGTTTCGGATCGGGGATCGGGCGCCGAAGATCGAGGATCGAGACCAGCCGTGCCGAGGTCAGGAGGAGGCTCGAGGATCGTGGCCCTCTGCGCGCCTCCACCCCTGTCCAGGCCTCCTCTGGAGGGCACCTCGTGGCCACGGCTGAACGGACTCGGGTCGGACGAGAGGGGGGACTAATTAGGGGAGGGAGAACCCTAGAGATCCGACGATCCAAAAAAATTGCAGCGGGGGCCCTCACTGGCGCTCGGGAACGTCAAAAAACGATTCAGGACGTAAAATCGTCCCTACAGAAGTGGCCCGGACCTCTGGGGCCCACGCATCGAAAAATATTGGAACAGCCAGATGTCTCGGTTTGTTCAATCCCTGAGATCTTCCTTCACTTCGGCCGCCCAGGGGCCGCTTCCGTGCCCCGGCCTCAAGAATGGATCCCGGGCGCGAATTTGCCCCCGGTGGAGGGGTCGGGAGCTCTGGGGCCACGGGCTGAACAAGTCCCTCGGGCCGAGGCTTTTGGAAGCGCCCGGGCCCCAGACCTCGGGCGTCTCGGTTGAAGCTTCCCTCGGAGAAGGAACATCAGCATGACCATCCGTCTTCTCGATTGGGCGTCCGCCGTGGACGGGCTTCAGTTGACAAACACACGTTGGCGCTAACGCACGTTCCGAGGGTCATCTAGCCAGACATTGGTTCTCGAAGCTGAGACCCAGATCTCCGAAAGAGCGTGTTCTGCCGCTGCTGGCGGAAAACCGGGGGGGGTCACTACCGGTTCGAACCCCCCCCCCCCACCCCCCCCAGTCCATCATGAAAAGGAGGGGGGTCTTTACCGCTTCGAACCCCTCCCCCCCCTCGAAAACCGGGGGGGGGTCACTACCGGTTCGAACCCCCCCCCCCCCCCTCGCCGCCGGCAAACGATGCCCGCTCCTCGGGGGGACAGTTGGAGAATGGTGGGGATGTTGGGACAGTGGTGGGAACGGTGGTGGCGGGGACAGTGGTGCGGGGACCCCATGAGACAGTAATGCGGACAGTGGTGGGGACGGTGGTGGTGGGGACGGTGGTGAGGGGACAGCGGGACAGTTGTGGGGACAGTGGGACGGTGGTGGGGACGGTAGTGGTGGGGACAGTGGTGAAGGCGGTGGTGGGGACAGTGGTGGGACAGTAGTACAGTGGGGAAAGTGGTGGGGACAGTGGGGACAGTGGGACAGTGATGGGGACAGTGGGGACGGTGGGACAGCACAGTGGGACAGCGGCGGGGACAGTGAGACTGTGGTGGGAACAGTGGGTACAGTGGGACAGTGGTGGGGACCGTGGGGAAAGTGCGGAGAGTGGGACCGTGGTGGGACAATGGTGGGGAGAGTGGGGACAGTGAGACACTGGTGGGGGCACTGGTGGGGAGAGCGGGGACAATGGTGGGAACAGTGGGGGCAGTGGTGGGGACGGTGGTGGTGGGGACAGTGGTGTGGGGACAGTGGGAATGTGGTGGAAACAGTTGGACAGTGGAGGGTACAGTGCTGGTGGCGACAGTGGTGAGGGCGGTGGCGAGGACGGCGGTGGGATGATGGGACAGAGGTACAGTAGGGACAGTGGTGGGGACAGTGGGGGCAGTGGTGGGAACAGTGGGACAGCTCAGTGGGACAGCGGCGGGGACAGTGGGACAGTGGGGACAGTGGGACACTTGTTGGGGCCGTGGAGAAAGTGGGGAGAGTGGAACCGTGGTGGGAACAGTGGTGGGGACAGTGGGGACAGTGCGACATTGGTGGGGGCACTGGTGAGGACTGTGGTGACGGTGGTGGGAACAGTGGGGACAGTGGTGGTGAGGACAGTGATGCTGGGGACAGCAGTGGGGGATGTGGTGCGGACGGTGGTAGGGACCCAGAGTTGTTTGCTGGCGGTGAGCGTGTGGGGGGGGTTCGAACCGGTAGTTAAACCACCCGGTTTTCGAGGGGAAGGGGGGGGTTCGAACCGGTAGTGACCTCCCCCCTCCCCCCTGGTTTTCGATAGGGCGGGAGGGGGGGGTTCGAACCGGTAGTGACCCCCCTCGGTTTTCGAGGGGGGAGGGGGGGGGAGCTTCGAACCGGTAGTGACCCCCCTCCGGTTTTCCAGAGGGACGGGGGGTTCGAACCGGTGGTGACCCTTCTCTGGTTTTCTGGGGGGAGAGGGGGGGGAGTTCGAACTGGTAGTGACCCCCGCGGTTTTCCGGAGGAGGGGGGGGTTCGAACCGGTAGTGACCCTCTCCGGTTTTCCGGAGGGGGGGGGTTATAGGGGAGGGGAGGGGGCCTTGCCGGGGGGAAAGGGGGGGGTCCAGCAGGGGAGGGGGGGTTTTCGGAGGGGGGTGGGGGGCGACCCCCGGGCTCCGGAGGAAGAGGGGGACATTTTCCACAGTAAAGCGGCGGTGGATCACGCTCTCTCAGATCTCCGGGCGAAGTTCTTGGACTGGCGCTGCCACCACCGCCTCTCTCTCTCTCTCTCTCTCTTTCTCTCTTTCCCTCGCGCACGGAGCGCGCCAGGGGCGGCGCCAGGGGGATCCACAGTCAAGACGCTGAAACAAGGACCGCTTTGGGTTCAGGAGGGGCTCTGGCTTCCAAGCCACCTCTTACCTTTGGGTCGTAGAGCCTCTGCGTAGCCGAGGCTCGGCGCAACTGGCGCTCCATGGGGTAGCACGACGACTGCAGCGCCGACCCAAGAGATCAGCGCGGAGCTCCGACATGTTCTGCTTTCGCAGGTGATCATTATTCTTCTTGTTCTTCTTCTTCTTCTTCTGTTCACCGCGAGGGACCTCGGGAGCCCTCGACCTGGTCCTGGCGGGGCCAGCGCGGTTTGCTCTTTGTCCCGCAGCGCGGCCCCGGGACCCCGACAGCGGCATCGGGGGGCCTGGAATGGCGGCGATCGTAGACGGAAAACATTACCATGTTCACGGCCTCACGAACCGGGCCCCTTCGTCGCGGGGCGTTTTTTCGCGGATGCCCCGCGCGGAACGTATCCGTGCGACCGCGTATCCGCTGGATCGCGCACTGGAGCCCAGACCGTGAGGCCGTGGATGATGATGGAAATTTGTTCCGCCCTGGACGCAAAGCATCCGTCTTGTTGTTTCTGAAGCACGGGTGTCCACTGTTCTCGGTTGGCTCGGTTGCGTCGTGGTCGGCTGCGTTCGGTCGGTTTGGCTCGGTCAGCCGCGTCTCGTCGTTGCCGCGTCGCGGCGCTGTTCTGGGCTGCCTGCGGCCTACAGGTTTCGGCCGGCTTCGGTCTCGCTGTCGGTTTTCGGCGGTGCTGTGGCCGTGGACGGCCTTGTCGACGCGCTTGGGCTCTGTCGGTCACGCGCACGAGGTGGTGAGAGGGGGGCGGAAAGCTTCTCAGAAGCAGGCTGTTTCTCAGAAGGCGCAGGCCTTTTCTGTAGATATAATGCCGGCGCCTTCTAAAAAAACAGCCTCGTTCTAAGTATAGAAGCCTTCCACCTTTCCCCCAACTCCTTGTGCGCGCCGCCAAGTCTGCTGCGGGAGAGGTGAGTTCACCCTCGCTTGGCGCGCTGGCGGTCCTGGAGAAGCTCGGCTTCCAGCTGGTCGGCTCCGCGGCGCGGGCGGGCGGTCTTTCCGTGTGTCTGCTGGCAAGGGCCCGGCGCGACGACGAGGACCGTGGCATGTTGGCCCCCAGGATCGACGATCCTCGGAACGTGCGCTTACACTATTTATCTACATGTGAATATACCTATACATATTTACATACATATATGTACATTTATATTTATATATATACACATAATAATGTCGCTGCGCGCCGTTTGTGCCGACGCGCGGCCTTCCGTCTTCGGGAGGGTGCCTCGGGCATCAGGGCAAGCGCCGCCTCGGACGCGGTGGGTTCGCCGTGGAGTTGCCGCGCTGCCGGCGTCGTCTACTTGAGCGCGGGTCGCAAGGCTTGCCATGAGTTTGCCGTGGTGTCGGCGTCGTCACCTTGGGCGCGTCGAGAACAAACGGCGCGGCGGCATATACACATACATACATACACATATGTGTATATATACATATATATGTCTAGATATAAACAAATCTGCAGCACACCAGAGAAAGAACAATCAGTGGACGGATGTCGCTGAGGAGATCGACTGGGAACCCAGGAGCCCGGGAACCCAGAACCCACCGAAATATAACCGGGAACCCGGGAACCCAGCTTGCTACCAAAATCGGTGGGACATTTTCGCCAAATTTTTCAATTTCCGCTAGGACCCCTTCAGTGCAAGCACTGCACTGATTGGGAAACTGATTCCCCAATCAGAGCTTGCCTCTGTAGGGGTCCTAGCGGATTCATATGGTTAGGTTAGGTTTGCCGCCGATTTTCGCCGCACGCCCCCGGGTGCTGCCCGGGTGCCCGGGGGTGCCGGGGGGTGAGGTTGGCCGCCGATTTTCGCTGCACTCCCGGGTGCCCTGGGGGGGGGCCCGGGGGGGCCTGGGTGCCCAGGTGCCCGGGTGCCCGAGCGTGCCCGGGCGTGCCCGGGGGTGCCCGGGGGTTGTCTTGGGGCCCTTTGGGGCTGTCTTGTCGGCCTCTTTGGGGCCTCTTGGACAAGCTTGGGACGATCTTTGGGGCTTATGAGCCCGTCTTGGAGTGTCGGATGCCCGAACAGGCGAGAACGCTAAACTAATTGCAACACTTTCTGGGAAATCAAAGAGGTTGGCCTCATGAAGGTCCTCTTGGAGCCTTCTTGGGGCGTCTAAGCAGCCCCGTCTTGGGCCCTTCCCGGGTCAGTCTTGGGTCCCTCTTTGGGCGCCTTAGGCTTTAGGGCCGTCTTGGATTCGAGGTCTCTGGGGCCGTCTTGTGACTGTCTTGAACCGTTTTGGGGCCTCTTGGGCTGTCTTGCGGGCCTTTTGGGGGCCTCTTCGGCCGTCTTCGGACGATCTTGGTGGCGTATGGGCCCGTCTTGGAGCTGGGCCCGTCTTGGAGCGTCGGATGCCCGAACAGACGAGAACGCTACAATATTCGAACAACCATTGGAACATCAACGATTTTAGCATCCTGGAGGTCCTCTTGGAGCCCTCCTGGGGCGACTGAGAGGCCTCTCTGGCTGTCTGGAGGACATATTGGAACGTCTTGGGGCCACCTTAGCCGTCTTAGAGGCGTCTTGGGACCGTCTTGGCGGCCAATGTGGGCCATCTTGACAATCTTGAAGGCATCGTGGTCGTCCTGGACGAGATGGAGCCAATTGAGACCGAACCTTCGCGGGTTTTCTGGGTGGCCGTCGGTTTAGGCCGATACCCCATTGAGAGTTCTTTAGACAAGGACAACAAAGATTTGCCAGACATCCGGCATGCCGTGCACCCTTGTGTCAAGACCACGGGGGGGGGCGGCGGAGATCGTGGCCTTCGGCCCATCTCGGCACCGTGCCTGGCGACTCGAGGCCCTCTTGGACCGTCTGGAGGGCCTCTTTGGGGGGTGGCAGGAGTTGTCCCCCCAGGCTGGCCCGTAATGCGGCAGTTAGGCTCAACTCGCTATGCCACCAAGGGTACACATGGGTAGGCAGAGACCCAGAGAGCCACCAAAGACATGCGACATGCCCAGGCCTAGCGTTCAGGACGAAACACATCATCAGGACCTTCTGGAAGGCCCCGGGGGGCCCTCTTGGCCCGTCTTTTGTTTTTTCGGCGCCCGAGGAAACCATCCGGGGAAACGCCGCAGGCGCGCCGGCAGCCCCAGGAGATTTGAGAATCTGTGGCCGGGGCCCTCACATGTTGTCATCGAAATTCAGGACTGGGGCTCAGGAGACTGAGCCAAAGTGCCCGCAGGCACGGCGGCGGATGCATAAGCCAAGTGTGTGTTCAGCCCGCTCTGCTCCACCAATTGATGGGCGTGTTTTCCACCACCACCCTCAGAAGTTGGAAGGGGGGGTCCACCTCCTCCTCCTCCTCCTCCTCCTCCTTCCCCCCTCCAACTTATGGTGGTGATGGTGGAAAACAGGCTCATCACCGACATCGCGCAGCCCGTGCTGGCCCTCCTTGCCACCGCCTGCGTCGGGTTTTTGCGGGCCTCGGCAGGCGAGCGCACCTAGGCTCCGGCACACGTTCTGGGGGTCAGATCTGCAGGAGGGGTGAAGCAACAACCAGACATCCTTCTCCTCCTCCTCCTCCTCCTCCTCCTCCTCCTCCTCCTCCTCCTCCTACTCCTAGATTCTCAGAGGAGGGAAAAGTACCGATACCGCTGCCCTTCCCTCGTTTTCTCCCTTTGGGGCTTCCTGGGTTGTCCTCGTCGCCACCGCTGGATTGGCCCCGTAACTCTGGTTAGAACGTCCCCCGTGAGAGGTCGTGGGAGTAGCGGTGTCGGTACCCGGGTCTCCCTAGCTTCTCGAAGCTGAGGAAGTGTCTGAAGCATATGCGTTCGGAGGTCCGCGCACATTGCTTTGATCGGCGGTGGGTCCCGCTGGCTGCCCATCCAGCGCCGCCCCTGGCGCGATGTCCAAGGCTGATCCCAAGAAATCCACGCGGACCTCCGAAATTCTATGTGTGCTGAAGACAAGGTGTCTGTCTTCTTCTACTAGCTACCAAAGTGACGAACCAAACACACTGAAGAGAGGTAAAGGACAAGTTAGACTGACTGAGCGTCAGCCGTGTCTGGTTGCTGCGTGGCCTTTTGAGGTCTTGAGGCGGCCTGGAGGCCAGTCAAGGGGCAGTTTCTGGGGAGGGGTCGCAAAGAGGTACAGACCTCGCGCGGATGTCTCGGATCTGGGCTGGCGGCACCTCAGGTGCCGCCTCTGGCGCGCGGAGCGCGCCAGGGAGGAGGGACCAGCGTCGATCCAAGAAATGTGTGCGGAGTTCCAACAGTTGTTGTTGATGCAGTGATGTCTTCGGCTGCTGTTGATGGTAGCGGTATGCCGTCGTCGAGGTTGGGGCCCCCATGACAATTACATGACCTTCTACCCCAACGTCTTGAAAGAAGGGGCAGTTTCTGGGGGACGTTTCCGGGCCCCCCGGACTATCAAACGAATGATTCTGATTCGGGGCCGTCAAAGAAGCAGTCCCCAGAAAGGGGCAGGAACCGCCTGGGGCCCACGCACTGAAACGAAAACGGAACGTCGGAGGTCTCGGCTCCCACGGATCGAACGCCTTGATGTTTCAAGCATGTGGCCGCTTGAAGTTCCGATCATTTCCCTGGCTCACCAGCGCAGTTGTTTCATCCCGAGCGGCTTGTATTGTCCCGCAGCACAGACAGGGCCCCCAGATGCCGCAAACGCCGAACAACTTCTGCGCGTCAGAGGCATGGGTTGAAGGGTGGCGCCAACAGGCCACGGGGCGAGAATGGCTTCTGCAGAATTCATCGGCTAATTTGAACAGATTCTCTCCCGAAGATGTAAAGCTGCATAAGCATTACATGTCGGAGCTCCGCGCGGATTTCTTGGATCGGTGCTGGACCCTCCTCCCTTGCGCGCGGAGCGCGCTCGGGGCGGCGCTGAGGGCGCCGCAAGGGGGTCCAGTGCCGATCCAAGAAATCCGCGCGGAGCTCCGAAAGTTTATGATTGTGCAAGGGCTTCTTCTTCTGATCACGGGAGGCGGCGCGTGGGGCGTGCCGCGCAGCAGCATTATTTTCATCACCGAGCTTGCGTAGAAGCTTGAGGCCGCTTCGGCGGTGATATCTATCGGGCGACACACGCGGGGAGTGAGTGGCCAGCGGAAAACGTGCCCTGTCGCTTTGGTCTTTGGTTCGTCTATCGGGCCCTGGGGAAAGGGCCCTGAGGAGAGGAATGGGCTTCCAGGTGCAGCTTGCATTACTGAGGACCTCTCCGCCCTAGGTCATTGACCGCTCTTGGGCATCGCTGGAGTCACTGGCAACCGAAGCGGTTAGCAGTGATGATGCCATGGCATTAGGCCATGCCGTTTCAGGCACTATGCTGCGCACTTCTCTCTCTCTCTCTGTCCCTGCATGTATATAGATAGATCAATACGCATCGGTGTAGCTCTGCATGTGTATGTACGACCTCTTGTGCTGGTCATACACATCACTCCTTGTCGCATTGCATACGCCATGGACGAATGTTTGTTCAATTGCGCACGCACATCAGGATCCACTGGGAGTTTGGCCGTGTGCGTCGACGGGGCAGGCGTACAAATGGCCGGTTTCGGTACAACAGCTTCGTTGAAGTTTTCCTGCCAGATGGGGTAATCATCCCAGTCAGCTTGAATCGGCGTCTGTTGCAGCCTCCTCCTGTCAAATCGTATGCAGCTGCGCGTGGATCATGTATTCGCAGAATGGCAACAGTGGCGAGCAGAGTCAGGTTTTATCCAGTTGCTTGCGGCAAACATCGCCACTGTGCCTGTGCAAAAGCGCAGCAGGAAGTAGGCTGAGTGTAGGAAAAGCGTAGTCCCGACGAGTATTCTGCATTGGGGCGGGTCGTGATCCCGACCTCGCGTTCGTCCGCGCAGTAGGGAGGAGGAGGTGGAGGAGTAGGAGGAGGAGGAACAGGAGGTGAGAGAGAGAGAGAAGAAGAGAGAGAGAGAGAGAGAGAAAGAGAGAGATAGAGATAGAGCGAGAGAGAGAGAGAGAGATACATATATAGAGAGGGAACAAACACATGAGGATGAGGAGGGGAAGGCGTCCTGTGGCTTTCTTGGGAACTCCTAAAAGCTTCTTTGGGGCCTCTAGGGGGCATCGTGGGGCCTCGTGAGGGCTCCTTGGCGCCTCTTAGGTGATCTTAGCGAACTCTTGGCCAGTCTGGCGGCTATGGAAGCCGCCTTGGGGGCATCTAGAGGCCGCTTTGGTGCCCTCTTGGAGCGGTTCACGGCCGTCTTTGGGCTCTCTCGGAAGCCCTTTGGGCGATCTTTGGGCCCAATTGACCCGACTTCGGGCCCCTTTGGGGGCTTCTTGGGCTGCCTGGGGGCTATCTTGGAGGCTTCGTAGAGGCTTTGTTGGCCGTCTCCGGCGGTCGAAAATCCGAACAGGTGAGAACTTTAAAATCTGTCAACAACACTTGGATACCTCTTGGGGGTGGCCGCCTCGTGCTCTCCAGGAGGGCCTCTTGGATACCTCTTGGGTCGTCGTGGGGGCTTCTTGATCTGTCTTGAGGCGCTCTTGAGAGCCTCCAGAGCCGTCTTGGGCCATTTGGGGGCCATCGTGGCGTCATCTTGGTTGACTTGACAGCCGTCCTTGAGGCCGTGAGACTCCCAAGAATGCCTCAAGACAGATTAAGAGGGCCCCAAGACGGCCCAAGAGGTCTCCAAGAGGCCTTGCCAGTGATTTCCTTTAGGCTTTTGAAAGAGTTTGAGGTTCTGGCAGGTTCGGACTCCCGGCCGCCCACGACAGCTCGACCGGCCTCTCTGGGCCGTCTTGTAGCTTCCTTTGTGCGCTCCAGGGCCGTTCCTGGGGCCCTCGCTGGCAGCCCTTCGGGCGATCTTTGGGTCCTTTTGGGCCGACCTGTGGGCCTCTTGGGGGCCTCTTGAATTGTCTTAGAGCTATTTGGGAGGCCTCTTGGAAGCCTTGTGGGCCGTCTTGGGAAGTCGGACGCCCGAACAGGCGGGAACCTCACAATCCGTGAAAACCCGCAGGAAAGTCAATGGCTTGGGCCCCCATCGTGCTCTCCAGGAATCCCTCCTGTAGCTCTCTCGGGGGCCTCTTCGGCCGTCTTGAGGCCCGCTCGGGCTACTGAGCCATCTTGAGGCTCCCTTGGGGGGCTCTTGAGCAGTCTTGGGCCATCTTGAGCCGTTTTGTTGTCGTCTCGGTTGTCTTGGAGGCCGTCTTGGAGGCCGTCTTGGAAGACCGAGAAGGCCGCCAGAAAGCAAGTTCACAAGGGGCGTTTTTTTGGGCGCGAGTGCGTCGAGGAGAGGGAGCCCCGTAAAACTTCACCAAATATCCCAGACAACCAACGACCATTCTAACACGCTCACTCCGTGCAGTCACGGTGGCGGAGTTCGGTTTGCCGCTACTGTTGAGCAAATGGTGCGTTCATTCTGGGCATGGCAGGGCAGCGTTGCCCACGTTTGAATGCTCAGTCCCTTTGGTGCGCGCTGAATTCTAGATAGGACAATCGAGGCAGTGACCCTAGGACATATCAAAGCTACATGCAGGCATGGGTGATATGCACGCGTGGTGCGTCAGGCGAGCGTTTGGCCTAGAGCGTGCGCCATTGCACGAGAGATTCCAGACTGGCTGCAGACGCGAAAGTCACACTGTTGGTAATGACACTTGATTGCCAAGGTTAGGTAACTCCACCCGATCACACATATGACATCGTTTTTCAATGCATATCCTGTGTCACAATATGTATGCGCATGGCAGCTTGTTCTCAGGGTCCACGTCAGGATGATGCGTGTCTCGGCCGTGGTCCGCACGCAGGGGACTGAGTAACAGAATTCTTGCCCGTGCCCGCGCGAGAGTTGATGCATGCCCGCGTGAAACGTTCAGCGCTTAGCGATGCTTTGGTCGGATGGGTCTTTGGATGATCACCGTTCCCGCTGTGCACGTCTCGTTCTCACCTTTGCAGCGTGGATGGTTGCGCCCAGAGACCAGGTCTTTCGCCGACGTCTTGACCATGTCCAGCGAGCCCACTGGATCTGAGGCGTTTAAGTCATGATCCATTTTCGGTCTGGCAAGGGTAAGTTCGGTTTGGCAAGGGCCCGCTGCCCTTCAGTTTTTATTTTAGGGCCCCAGCAAGGAGACTCGACTGACCCTGGGAACAAAGGGCATCATTCGCTCCCGATTGAGTATGCGACTGTCGCAGTACTCTGGCCGTGCTGCGTGGGGCCTCTGCCCTGCGCAGGTACGCCACGGCGCATACCGGGGGCTGCGCCTTCCGGAGGCGCTTTCGTTGAGCCCTGCGGCGTGGCAGAGGGGGCCCCCCGCCAGGCGCGCGGAGGCCTGGGACATTTCCCGCCCCCCTCCTCCTCCTGGAGGCAATGTCTGGCCGCAAGTGCCGAGCCATCTTCCCTGGGCGATCTGCCTCGGCGGCAGGGCGAGTCAGGGGCAACGTGAAGGGGGCTCGGGCTCAGAGGGGAAGCGTCGACCACCAATCGCTCATTCATCGTCGATGTGGGCCTGATAGCCCACCCCCGCCTAGGAGCTTGCGGATTCGGTGTCGGGGGCATATCGCCAATCTGTCGGCGACGCATCGCCGACTCCGGATCGATGTCCCCCCTGCCCCCCTGGCGGGTCCCGGTCACGCATCGCACCCCCCTTCACAGCGTCCACACATGCCCAGGCTCGGGCGGTCGCAGGCCTGGGTGAGACGGGGGGGCGCGGAGTGGCGACGGGTCCCGTTTCCATGGGAAATCGGGGATCTCCGCCGCCGGGCGAGGCGGCACGGGCCGCACGTTGGGGAGGGCACCTCCCCCGATCCACGGATGTGCCGACCGCGCGCCACATCCAGGGATCGCTAATCCATTTGCGCGCCCCCGACAGACCTCTAACGCATTGAATGAATCAGCTCGGAGGTGGGGCCCTCGCCGGGCCCGGGGCCGTCACCAGAAGGATCTGGGATTCAAACAGTTTCCCCAGGACCCGCGCTGAGCAAGAAATCAAGATGTAAGGTTTTTTTTTTTTCGGAATGGCTCCCAAGAGCCTGACCCTTTGCCCAGTGCCAGGTTTTCAATCCCGAGCCGTTTTGTTGACTGACCGGCGGGGCCTGTCCAGGGCCCCCGGAGGCCGAGAACGGCGAACACATTGTGCAAATCTTGATTTTTCCTATGCGCAGGAGGGCTAGCACAGCATCCAGGCCTCCAAGATGTGGTGCGAGTGGATGGGCTGGGGGAGCGCGCCGCGCCGTCGATGAACCAGGGATGCAGCTCGATGGGGCCGGATTTTCTCTACACCGACAGCTTCGATGCATCGCCGACGTCGCCGATGCATCGCAGATGCGGCCCAGTTCTCGGCTCGGGCCCCATGTCTACCCAGGCAGCCTCCGAGATGACTGTTCCCATCCGCAGCCCCAGGAGACCCGTCCCGGGCCGGGCCCCTCTCTGATACCCCTGGGGCCCAGAGGCGGGCCCCTGAGGCCGAAATCGCGGAAGAACGCCAGAGCCGAGCTTGGGCCCGGGAGGCCGAAGTCGATCGAAGTCGACCGATGAAAAGATCCAGGCCTTTTGTGTGTCTCGTTTGGTTCGCTCTTTGCGGGCGCACGCGACGAGGAGGGCTAGCCCTGCTGAGATCCGAGCATTCGGACCCCATTCTGGGAGGTCGGCTTCGGGCGAATGGGTTCCTTGCAGGGGGGGTCTCAAACATGTGCGCAACAGTTCGTGCAGTCGCTCGTGCGGGGTGCGCGCGTCGTTAATCATGCAGCCCGTCGCTGCCATTCGCTTCGCGCCACAGGATGAACTGTTGCGTTTTCGTTGGCGGCCCCATTCTACGAAGGACCCCCCCTCCCCTGCCCCGGGGCCACGGAAGTGTCAGCCCTAGAGCTCTCGCCGCAGCCGCTGCGGCGGCCCGCGCCTGCCCCGCCTGCCTCGCGGAAGCCCCCCCCTGGCTCGAGAGACGCGATGTGCGACCCTCCGCGGCGCGCGCGCGGGAGCGCTCCCGCCCTCCCTCTCGCGGCGCCCGCGCCGACCCCGCGAGGGAGGAGGGCGGGGAGTACACCGAAGAGGAGGCCTGCCTGCCAGGGAATGGCCCTGGATAGTTTGTCAGCCCCCTCTGTGCAGGCCCGAGGACTCTTGGGATCTTGCGAGGCTGAACCTCGATGCAGAATGTGCCCCCAGAGATTTTGCAGCTAAATCCCTTGATCGCTTGACGGCGTGCTTCTACTTTATACCAGCGGGGTCAGATCAGGAGCGACATAATGACGCACATGTGCATGAATTCAAGCTGGTTTCGAAAGTACGCATTGCGCGAATGTTCGCATCACGAGGCTGGTCTCGCGGACTGGGGAGCCGTATTCATGTACGGAGTTGGGCGCGTACGTGTTGTGGGCTCCCTAGCAGAGGAGCAGAGGAGGAAGAGGTACCCAACACTTGCCCAGTTTTCGCCTGTCTGGGGCCTCTTGAGAGGCCCTCGTCGCCACCGGTGGGTTCGCCTCCAAGTTTTGGTCAGAACGCATCCCAGGACAGGTCCGGGGAGTAGCGGTGGTATCGGTACCTTTTGGTTCCCGCTGGGGGGGAGTTTTGTGATCTGGGCGGTGCAATTCACGGCCCACTCCGATCCAATCGATCCGATGCGGTAGCGGTTTTGGCTAGGCCGATCCGACCCGATTCCGACACTCCGACGATCCGATGCCCGGCCCGATGTTTGCATGGCGCTGCTGTGCATCCTGGCGCAGCCGACCCGATTCGTGATCGGCTCCGTGCCGGTGCAGCCCGATCCGACGCACACCTCGATGCGATGCGATGTCCCATTCGATGCGGACTGATCCTGCAACGTTGTTCACGCCGGGCGGTTTCGCCTGGCTTCGGGCCCCGAGGACCAGCACAGATGGATCCTGCTCAAAAGGTACCGCAGAAAGATCTGGTCTACACGGCTCCGGTCGTGTTTTTCGCGATGCGGCATGTTTGTTCGCAATCTCGGATTTTAGGATGGTGAGGCCTGGCATGGGGCGCAGGGAAGGGTTCCCTCTCCTTCCTTAAGTTGACATGTCTCTCTCTCTCTCTCTTTGTGTCTTCTCTCTTTCTTTCTTTCTCTCTCCTCTCTCTCTCTCTTTTTCTCTGTTGTTTGCAGTCGTTTCGTTTCGGTCGGCTTTGGCGAAGTGTTTCGCGGCCGCGCTCTAGCCATTGTGCTCTCGTGGGTGCACGCAGCTCTCAGAAGTTTGTCTCTAGCAGGCCGTTCTTTCAGAGGGGTCCGCAATGTTCTCGCGCAGGAAAACCCAGAAGAAGAAGAAGAAGAGAGCGAGGCACTCGTTCAGGAAGGGGGGGTAGGTGAAGAGAGATCCTTTGGGGACACCTGAGATCGAACCCAGTTAACAGCCATCTCGAGGGCAATGGCTTCGGCCTGGGACACCGTGACCCCCGCTCCTAGGAAAAGGCCCTCGGCGTACCAGGGTTCGAATGTGGTGTTGGTCGGGGTCTTCGAAAAGAGCCCGACCACCATAGAAGCCGACGCGCATGTACTGGATCGTCTGCCGCCGTCGGTCTGGACCACGACGTTCGCGGACCCAGGCTCCAGCGTCATCTGGAATGACCTCGTCCACGACCACATTATGTCCATCGTGAGGTTAGCCAGCCCGTCCGGCCTCTTGTTGTGCGCGCGTGGCAGCCAAGCGATTGGGTCGTCCGCGATGCTCGGCAGCTGCCAGCCAGCGGACATCATGTCGAAGATACCGTTGGAGATCCGGTGCAGCATCGGCTTGTCCCTGTCGTCAGCCAGCCTCGCTCTGCCGCAGGCTGCGTCGACCAGCGATCTGCTGTCGCAGGTAAACAGGAATGCTCTCCCCTAGCGTGTCCAGTGCCAGAGCTCCGCGGGCGTGTCCTGCAGGTCTTCCGCCCGTGGTCCGTCGGTCTGGAAAGTGAGCCGCTGCTTCTTCGAGCTCCACTCGGCGTCTGCGGGTTGTCCGTGGCAGGGTCCTGCTGCCTCGGTGCTCTGCACTTCGACAGCTCGGCCTCGGCGCACACCTGCTCGATGAACTCGTCCATCGCTGCAGCACAAGAGCGCCAGCCCTGCGCGTCCCGGACAGAATAGCCCGAAGATCCCCACGAGGAGATCTTCCCAAGCCGTCTTGGCCCCTCTCGTCCTCTGGAGCCATTCTTCAGCATGGTGGTCTTTTTAAGATGCCTGCGTCGCAGGGATCCATTAGCGTCGCGCTCTGCACAGGCGGATGGACCCCAAGGGCTTCTCTTCATGCCCTGCAAAGGTCTTCCTCTCGCGCCGTGCTGCCTTGTGGTGAGTGCTCAATATGTGCACGTGGACGGGAATGACCTTAGCCTTCGCCATCCATTCCCTTATCTTGGTAACGCTTGTCCGGAAATACGTGATGTAGTCGATGTTGCCATTGTTCCATTTGGGTCGTAGGACATGACGCAAGAATTTGAGCTCCCACGACCAGAGATCCTTCAATATCTGCCGCGTCAGCGCCCACGTCTTTGACCCAACGACCGCCGACGACTGTGGGCCCCGCGCCCATGCCCGCAACTTCTCAGCGATGGGCCCCGGCCCCGACAGCGTCTGTCGGCAGGCCCAGTACTGACCCTCCGCGCAACGCTGGCGATGATCGACCGCAGCTAAACTGGACCCACTCGCATCTATCTTCTCGCCAAGAGCTATCATCACGTCGACGTTATCGAAAACAAGCCTCTCCGACCCCTCTGGGGACTTGCACGTAAAGAAAGGTGGGTCGCTTCGACCATCGCCTGTTGCCAGGACTTGCAAAGAAGCCGGTTTCCACTCCAAGCGGTGTTCCTGCACGAGGTTGGTGTCGGAATCAATCATATTTTGCATCTGAGTGAGCTGACTCGAGATGAGGAACATATGATCTGCCCAGATGAGGTGTGTGATTATGATGAGTTCGCTGTCTTTACATTCGAACCCGTAACCCCTTTTCCCGCCATTGTTGCACGTTTGGCTCCAAGATGTAATCCATGACGATGGAAAACATATCTGGGGTTTCGACTCCACCCTGCTTGCCCCCTCACATGAAATCGAAGTACCCTGACAGCTTGCATCCAGGGAGACACATCCGGGCACGAGCGCAGGAGAGCTCCCGCATGATGTCCATTATCAATATGGGATGGATCTGTCATAGCGAAGGGCGTCCTCGATCAATTGGTCGTCCATGCAATCGAAGGCAGTGCGCACACCTATGCAAGCAACGTGTAATGTGAGCCCTCGGTAAGTGTCGGCTGTCCAAAGCAGTTGACACAGGATTGCTGTGATGTCTGTGGTTCGCTTGTCCTTCTGAAAACCAAATGTCCAGACATCTGTCGACCTCAACCCTCCCCTGAACAGGTTACGGTGTGGTTGTGGTTGTGGTTTGGGTTGCAGTCTTGTTTTACTGTGAATGTTTTTTGTCTCACTCTCTCTCTCATTCTCTCTATCTCCTTCTTTCTTTGCCCAACCATCCTGTGATGTGGGTCTTCGTTTTGTAGAGACAGCGCCCCGCGTTCCTCCATCTCCTCCTGCCTTCCTGCCTCTGCCCTCTGCATGTCAATGTCAGCGCACCCAGTACGGCGCTTCGTGGCCCCAGAAGGAGCTCCACCCAAGGCCCCAGCGGCTGCGATCACATGCGTCCCCGCCACCCGTTCCGGCACACCCCTCACACGTTTCGTGACCCCTTAGGGAGTTTCACCGAAGGCACCAGTGATTGTGATCACATGCGTCCCCACCACCCATTTCGGCACACCCCTCACACGTTTCGTGCCCCCATAGGGAGCTCCACCGAAGGCGCCAGCGATTGTAATCACACTGGTCCCCGCCACCCATTTCGGCACACCCCTCACACGTTTCGTGCTCCCATGGGCAGCTCCACCGAAGGCCCACATGCGCCCCCGCCACCCATTTCGGCACACCCCTCACACGTTTCGTGGCCCTCTAGGGAGCGCCACCGAAGGCCTCAGTGGCTGCGCCTGCATGCGCACCCGCCACCCATTTCGGCACATCCCTCAAACGCTTCGCGGCCCCACAGGGTGCTCCACCGAAGAGGATACGCATCACTGCGGCGTTTCACAGCTGCATCTGGTTGGGTCTTTCGCCAGGTTCAGTTTCTGTTATGGATCCCTCTCTCTCTGTTACTCTTTCTCTCTCTCTCTCTCTCTCTATCTCTCTCTCTCTCCCTTTTTCTGAAATGTATTTTTACATACATAGATACATACACCTATATGTCAGTCATCTGCTGGGTGCTTGTTTTTTGTTTATCTCTCTCTCTCTCTCTCTCGCTTTCCACTCTCTCTCTCTCTCTCTCGTTACGCAAATATACATATATAGAAAGAGAGATCTGTTTGGCTCAAGTTTGTATATTGCGAAGGCCTTACGGCCGGTGCCGCCGACCCTGAATGGCGACGACGACGACGACGACGAGCGCTCTTGGGGCCTCTTGGGAAGCTCTCAGGGACCGCTTGGAAGCCTCGTGGGGGCCTCTTGGGGCTTCCTGGGGGTCTCTTGGAGGGGGCCTAGGACGTCTTGGAGGCTTCTTGGACGGTCTTGGGGCTATCGTGGGCGTTTTCGGCCGATCTGTTGGCGACTCGGGGCCCTCCTGGGCCGTCTCGGGGGCCATTCTGGGCATCCAGACCTCATTTGCAGTGTTTTCGAGGCGTCGAGGCCGCCCGAGGGAAAACTAATCTGCCCCCCCACCCCCCCCGGGACACCCCCCGGCCCGGGACCCCCCCCGGGACCCCCCCGGACCCCCCCCCCTGGGGAAGGGATCGAAGGGAAGGGGCTTCCCTTCGACTCGATTACGACACTGCTAGATTTTTCTCTCGCTCACGAGCTTGAGAAGGAAGCTGCAGGGAAATGGGGCGACGGAGGCGATACAGTATATTTCTGTGCGTGGTCGGTTTTGAGCTGTGTCCACCTTTGCTCGCTTTGGTACATTCGGCTTGGCTTGACCTCATGTCGCGTTCGCTGTTGGATGAGGGGGGGGCGGGGGAGAAGGAGGAGGGATGAGGAGGAGGAGGAGGAGGAGGAGGAGGAGGAGGATGGGCAAGAGTGTTCTCCACCCCTTTCCCAGACACCGACGTGATTCTTTCACATACTGTCTCCCCAAAGGTTTGGGCCTCTTGAAGAGGACTGGCTTTCATCATGCGTTGTTTCTTGATTTTCCTGGGACCTGGAAAGGGCCCCCAGACCTCCCAGCATGATCAACACATATGTGTTGTGATGGTTCACGACACGACACTTCTTGCACACACTCAGCCTTGTAACGAATGTCCTGAGGAAGCCTTCATAGATAATCACCTCTTGAAACTGAGCGCCTGTGTCTGCGCAGCTGGCGGGAGGTCAAGGGTCATATATGCGCGGCGTCACGGAGAACCACATGGCTTCGGCGGCTCCCCCTCCATCCATGTAGCGGCTCCAGTGTTCTGTTTCACGCGGACGTGTTCGCCGCACAGACGATACCGTACGTACATGCAGAACGACTTGGCTTTCCTCCGTGCAGCGGTGGCGAACGCTCACCCTTGCGAGGACGGCCGCCCTCCATCCGTGCAGCTGCTGGAACGCTCACGCTTCAGGACGACACGATGCGCACACTTCTCGGGCGAAGCGCCCGACCCAAATCACCGACACGCCTGCCGTCGACGAGGGAAAACTCACCGGCAAGGAGGAGGGATTCCGCAACCGAGCAAGCGACAGCATGGACCTGGGCGCGTGGATCAGTGGCGGGTCCCGTTTCCGTGCAGAATCGGCGCGCCACGTCGCCAGATCGGGCGTCACAAGCTTCGTGGGTACCGCTTCCCCGATCCGTGGATCTGGCGACCGCGCGGCGGAGCCACGAGTCCGCAATCCATGTCAGATGAGCGTGCGCTCAGAGGAAGAACGAGTGGGAGGGGGAGCACCTGACGAGCGAGGAAGGACGAAGAGGAGCTGGAGGAGGAGTCCGTACCTGCCCCCCCTCCCGCCCGTCTCCTCCCCGGGCCGCACAGGACCGCATGGAAAACGACTGGGTCGTCGCGATCCCCACGTTCGACCGCGTGCAGGACATTGAGCGAAGGACCGACGACGGGGCTTCGGATGGGCTTGGCCTAGTCCCAGCACAGCTGCAAGCTGTGTCTCGCTCTCTATCTCTCTCTCTCTCGCTCTTCCTTTCCTTTTCTCTTTTTTTGTTCTCTCTCTCTCTCTCTCTTCCTCATTCTCTTTTTCTCTCTCCTTCTCCCTGTTCTTGGTTTCTCTGTCTCTCTCTCTCTCGCTCTCTCTCTCTCTCTCGCTCTCTCTCTCTCGCTCCGGAGCGAGCGCCGCTGCGGACGATCGTCAGGCAACGAGCGATTGATGGCCAGAACGTCCAGCAGAACGCCCGCAGCACTACGTGGGCGGGCGAGAGTTACTTCACCCGCCTCTGAGCGGTGCGGAAGTCGCGCTGCGCTTCCTTCACCCATTTCGTACCACATTCGTGACGCCTCCCTCTCTGGAGCGATTCGGCCTCGGGGGGAGTCCAAGAAGGCGCCCGAGGCTCCCACAAGCATAAAGTCAACACATGGAGTTCCGGGAGGTTCCTCGGCGCCGGGCTAAAACTTGCACCTCCCTGAGAATTCTCCCCCAAGGCAACGATCGCTGGTATAACCCAAAACATAGGTGCTCCCGAGGCCGCGATCCCCCATACACAAAAAAGAAGATCCCCGTTCACGAGGCTGAGGTATTTCGTGAATGACACGATCCGCACTCCTGGGGGGATGCTTCGTAAATAGCATAGGACCTGCGTTTCCAATGCCACGATCCGTGGGGGAAGACAAAATGCGCGCTCCCGAGAGCGCGATGCAACAAAAGAGGGGGGACCCTCGCTCCCGAGGCCACGATCCCGTTGATCTGATATAAATCATATGCCGGAGTACCGGGGGCCCAGGCCCCGGGCCGGGACACCCTCCCAGATTTCCCCCCCCCCCCTCCCCCCTTGGGCCCCCTCTCGGGCCGACCAAAAGAGTTCCAGGGAGCACGGCTCAGCGACAAGAGCGGCGCAATAGCGCCCAAGGCGACCCAAGATGGCCTCAAGATAGCCACAGAGCCCCCAGGAGGCTCCCAATACGCCCCAAGAAGGCTCAAAAATGCTCCCCAAGAGCGCCCCAGATGCCCCAAATTGCCCCATTCCTCCGGAAACTATATATTTTCAGCATACTCGCTTTTTTGGTCTTAACATCGTATAACAGCGTCCAAGACGGCCCAAGAGGCCCCCAAGATCGCCCCAAGACGGTCCAAGAGGCCCCAAAGAGAGCCCCAAAATGGCCCAAGAGAGCGCCAAGACGGTCCAAGAGGTGCCCCTGACGGCCTGAGATGGGCCACGGGGGGGAGCTCCACCTCACATTCCGAGCCCCCCCCAGACCGCCAGCAGGCCCCCAAGATGCCCCCAAGAGGCCCAAAAGTTGCCCCAAGAGGCCCCAAACAGCTTCCACGAGGCCCCCCTAGAGGCTTCACGAGTGGCTGCCAGAAGCGCCCGAAAAGCATGCCAAGAGACCCCAAACAGGTATCCCAGAAGCCTCTGACCCAGGCGCGGTGGCAATATGAGCCGAAGGCCCGTAGATCCGCCGCCCCCTCTGTTGCTTGCAACAGGGGTGCCTGGCATGCCGAATTATATGGCTTTTGGTTTTGGCTCTTTCTCCAAAAGAGCTCCCCCTGGGTCTTCGGCCCGTCCCGCCGGCCACCCGGAAAGGATCTCAAGGAGCTCAATCGGGAAAAAAATCCTCCAAGATGGTTCAAGATGGCCTCCAAGATGGCCACGTTGGCCCAGGTTGGCCTCCAAGATGGTCCAAGATGGCCTCCAAGTCCGCCCAAGATGGTCCAAGACGGCCTCCAAGACGGCCCAAGAGAGTCCAAGATACCTCCAAGGTTGCCCAAGAAGCCTCCAAGACGGCTCAAGAGGCCTCCAAGAGGTCCTCCAGGATGGCCCGAAGAGGCCAAACTCATTGATTTGTCCTTTCCCTATATCCTAAGATGGGGTTCGTGTTATTTCTTGGATACCGCCGACTCCAGAGAACAATAACATACCCAGAACACATATTCCCCGTATCTTAAGATGGGGTTATTGTCATTACTTGGACGCCCCCTACTATCTCTTCTTCTCCTCCCATCCTCTCGGGCTTACTCATACTCAGACTTGCTCCTAATCAGACTTATGCACGCACAGACTTAATTACTCATGCTCAGACATACTCATACTCAGACCTACTCATACTCAGACTTACTATACCCAGACGTACACATACACTGACTTACTCATACACAGACTTACTGATACCCATACTTACTCATACCCAGACGTATTCATACACATATTTTTATCACACACAGACTTACTCATATTCGGACCTACTCATACTCAGACCTTCTCATACTCGACTTACTCATACTCATACTCTTGAAATGGGAGCCGCCACGGGTGTTTTCACGGGCCCGGTCGCGGCGCCAGTTTGTGGGGATTTCTCAGTCGGTTTGGCTGTTTTGGTGGGCAGACTCGTCTGCGTTTAGAGCAGTTTGTGAGGATGTCTCAGGCGGGGCGCTGGTTTCAGCACCCCTAAGGGGAGCTGCCAGGGGTGTTTTCACGGGCCCGTTCGCGGCCAGTTTGTGGGGACGTCTCAGGCGGTTTGGCTGTTCTGGTGGACCCCGTGTGCGTTTAGAGCAGTTTGTGAGGATGTCTCAGGCGGGGCGCTGTTTTCAGCACCCCTTAAAGGGAGCCGCCAGGGGTGTTTTCACGGGCCCGTTTGCGGCCAGTTTGTGGGGACGTCTCAGGCGGTTTGGCTGTTTTGGTGGGCAGACTCGTCTGCGTTTAGAGCAGTTTGTGAGAATGTCTCAGGCGTGGCGCTGGTTTCAACACCCCTGAAAGGGAGCCGCCAGGAGTGTTCTCACGGGCCCGTTCGCGGCCAGTTTGTGGGGATGTCTCAGGCGGTTTGATTGTTTTGGTGGGCAGACTCGTCTGCGTTTAGAGCAGTTTGCGAGGATGTCTCAGGCGGGGCGCTGGTTCCAGCACCCCTAAGGGGAGCCGCCAGGGGTGTTCTCACGAGCCCGTTCGCGGCCAGTTTGTGGTGATGTATCAGGCAGTTTGGCTGTTTTGGTGGAGACCCGGTTGCGTTTATTGCAATGTGTGAGGATGTCTCTGGCGAGGCGCTGGTTCCAGCACCCCTTAAAGGGAGCCGCCAGGGGTGTTTTCAGGGGCCCGTTCGCGGCCAGTTTGTGGGGACGTCTCAGTCGGTTTGGCTGTTTTGGTGGGCAGACCCGTGTGCGTTTAGAGCAGTTTGTGAGGATGCCTCAGGCGGGTCGCTGGTTCTAGCACCCCTAAGGGGAGCCGCCAGGGGTGTTTTCAGGGGCCCGTTCGCGGCCAGTTTGTGGGGATGTCTCAAACGGTTTGGTTGTTTTGGTTGGCAGACTCGTCTGCGTTTAGAGCAGCTTGTGAGGATGTCTCAGGCGGTGTGCTGTTTTCAGCACCCTTTAAGGGGAGCCGCCAGGGGGTAGGACACGGGCCCGTTCGCGGCCAGAATATTGAGGAGGGGGAACGAATGGGAGGCTCATGTTCAATCAGAATCAAAGCTCACTCTGACTCATTCACTCACTCGCATTCGGATTCATTCGTCTTCGCCGGCCCTGCCGCCCACTTGGACGCGCTATTATAATCAAACGCTCATGAACACCGGCTCACTACGGCATGACATAAAACATGAGACACACATATGGGAAGCTCCACGCAGTGAGTAATCTCTAGGTTTCTGAAGGATTTTGGCATTTGCTTCTTCTCAGCATTCCAACGGCTTGAGACGGCCCAAGAGGCCGCCAAGATCGCCCCCACAGGCCCCCAAGAGGGCCCCATGACCGCCCACGTGGCCTCCAAGACGGCCCCGAGAGGGCCCCAAGACGGCCCAAGCGGCCTCCAACACGCCCAAGATGGCCTCCAAGACGCCCAAGATGGCTTCCAAGACTGCCCCGAAGCGCCCCCAAAGGGCTCCAAGTCGGCTCAGAAAAGGCCACCAAGACGGCTCCCGACGGCGTCAGACGTGCCAGGAACCCACCAAGATGGCCGAAGTTGGTCCGAAACTGGCCCAAGACGGCCCAAGATGCCCCCAAGAGGGCTTCCAGGAAGGCCAGAAGAGGCCAAAAACATTGGTTGTCCTAAGGTTTTTGGCGGATTTTGACATTTGCTTCTTTTCAGCCTTCCGACGGCCCGATACGGCCCAAGAGCCCCCAAAGATCGCCGAAAGATCGCCCAAGAGGCCTCCAAGATGGCCCCAGCACGGCCCAAGAGGCCCCCAAGACGGCCCCAAGAGGCGCCCAAGACGGCCCAGGAGGTTTTTAAGACGCCCGAGATGGCTTCCAAGACGGCCCTGGAGCATTCCAAGAAGGCCCCAAGTCGGCTCAGAGAGGCCCCCCAAACGGCTTCCGACGGCGTCAGACGGGCCAGGAGCCCACCAAGACGGCCGAAGATGGCCCTCTAAGATGGCCAAGACAGCCCAAGAGGCCTCCAAGAGGGTCTCCAGGAAGGCCCGAAAAGGCCCAAATCATTGATATACAATGCGTTTTCGAAGGATTGTGGCATTTGCGGTGTTTCGGCCTTCCGACGGCCCGAGACGGCCCAAGTGCCCCCAAAGACGGCCCCAAGAGGCCCCCAAGGCGGCCGAAGAGGCCTCCAAGACATTCAAGATGGCCTCCAAGACGGCCCAAGAGCCCTCCAAGACGTCCTCCAAGAAGGCCCGAAAGGGTCAAAATGGCGTCCAGGCGGCCAAGATGACCTTCAAGATGCCCACGTGTTCCCCGAAGACTTGCCAAACCGATTCGGGGAACACATGGTCCGATAGCTTGGCAGGTCTGGCCTCAACGTTCGGCCACATAGGCGCTTCCACAAAGGCAGGGGGCGGTGGTGATTCGCCGCAGGCGTCTTCGATAAGCAAACCAATAGCCTGGTGTAGGGCGCAACCTTCTGCAGTCACGCGTAGCGCAGGGCGCGGCCCTCTCTTCATATACTGCGCGCCGCGGGGCAATGCGGATAGGGGGCGTGCGCAGGCGCGCTGAACTCCTTGTTGTGGTCACGGTCCGCGTGAAGGGTGTGCCGAATAACCTGGATGCAGAGGCGTTGTTGGAAAGTGAGATTGCAATACGGCATGGCTCAGACATTGCCCGGCGATTTTTTCCTGGCGTCCTTGGAGGGGACGCCATGCGTGCGCGGAGTAGAGATCATACATGCGCGGAGGAGGAGGAGGAGGAGGGAGGACGAGGAGGAGGAGGGTCGGAATCACGAACGGCGAGAAAACACAAGTCATTGCGCAACCTATGGAAAGTTCAGACCATGTACGTAAGTGGCAGAGCGCCTCGGAGGTCTCTTGGGCCTATCATGAGCCGATTCGGAGGCGCATCTGGCTTCCAGAGATTGTATGGGACGTCTTGGAGCGCTCTTGGGCTGTCTCGGACGATCTTGGACTCTCTTGGAGGTCCTCGGAACGGGCTTGGAGCGCTCTGGGACGCCTGAAAAGCCGCACCAAGGAGGAACATCTCCGAGGAGGAGGAGGAGGAGGAGGAGGAGGAGGAGGAAGAAGAGGAGGAGGAGGAGGAGGGAGGAGGAGGAGGAGGAGGAGGAGGAGGAGGAGGAGGAGGAGGAGGAGGAGGAAGAGGAGGAGGAGGAGGGGGAAGGAGGGGGAGGAGGAGGAGGAATTGGAGTCTTGAGGGGCACTGAGGAGGATCGAGGAGCGGGACTAAGGGCGAACGCGACGGTGGTGGCTTTCTGCCCATCCCGCCACTGTGCCTGAATTGTGGGTCAGGGGCCTCTTGGAGGCATGCAAGGCTCTCTCGGGATGCCTCTCGGGGGCTTCGTGGAGGCAGGTTTGAGGACTCTTCGGGGCCTCTTCTGGGCCTCTTGAAAGGCCTCTTAGGCTCTCTTGGGGACCTCTTGGGGGTATGCCGGGTCGCCATCTTTGGGGGAAAGACTCGAAATGAAGCTCTCGGCAGTCTTGTGGGCCTCTTGGGCCGTACTGGGGCCCTCTTGTGCCATCTCAGGGCGATCTTGGGTGTTTCTTGGGTCGCCTTGGGGCGATGGAGGCCTCTTGGGCCGTCTTGGAGCGTCGGAAACCCGAAAAGGCGAGAATGCTGAAATCTTGCAAAAACGCACGGGAATCGCTCATTTGTGCATCTTGCGTGGGGCTTTCTTGGGGGTCCTTTGGGGCAGTCTTGGGGCGTCTTCGGGGCCTTCTGGGGCGTATCGAGGCCATCTTGGCCGTCTTGGAGTGCTCTTGGGCCGTCTCGGAGCCCTCTTGGACCGTTTCGAGTGCCCTCGCGTGATCTTCTTGGGCATCTTGGGGCAGTTGGCCTTAGGAAGCGTCCTGCGACAAGCGCGAAAGGTCACGCGACAAGCCCACCTTGAAGGTTTGTTGGGGCTTCTTGGGGGCCTCTGGGAACTTCTTGGGCTGTCTTGGAGCTGTCTTGGAGGGCGTCTTGGGCCGTCTCGGAGTGTTGGAAGCTCGCGCAGGCGAGGACGCTAAAACCCTTCAAGACACAAGGTAAAATCGTTGATAGGAACTTCTTGGAGGGGGCCACCTGGGAGCCTCTTGGGGGAGCTCTTGGGCCTCTTTTGGGCCTCTTGGGGGCCTCTTGGGACCTCGTGGCGGTTTGTTTATGTATGTTTGGGGTCTTGAGGGCCATCTTGCGGGAAACGGATCGAAATTTGAGTTCGCTTTCCTCTTTTGGGTCCCTCTTGGGGCCCTCTTGGGGCCCTCTTTGGTAGTCTTGGGAGCTTCTTGGGCCGCCTTGGCGCCCTCTTGGGCTGTCTTGGAGCTCTCTTGGGGGCCTCTTGGGCCGTCTTGAAGCGTCGGATGCCCGAAAAGGAGAGAACGCTCAAACCTTCAAAAAATCAATAGAACATCTACAATTTTGGCATCATGGAGCCCTCTTGGGGGTCCTCTTGGGGCTCTCTTGGGGCGTATTGGGGGCCTCTTGGGCCGTCGTGAGGCAATCTTGGGCGTCTTGGAAAGCTCTTGGGCTGTCTCGGACCAGACAGTTGCCAGCGCAGGCTGCGCTGACCAGCGTCCACGGGCCTGCAGCGTCGTCGCGACGCGCGGCCTGCCCGCGCTCCTCTGCCAGCGGGGGCACCCAGAGACTTGCCGACCCCTCTTCGGTCTCGGCGTCCACGCCGTCCATGGGACAGCTCTCTGACCAGGGCCGGCGCTGTGGGCTGGCCGCAGGCTGGGGGGTTGCATCGCGCAGCTGCTGGCGGACCGCGCCCATCTGCCTGCGCACCTCGACCCACGCCGTTCGGAAGTTGCCCGAGCGCCATGCGTCCTTCAGGTGGTCGAGCTGGAAGAGGAGCCCTGGCACAGGGCTATTCTTGACCACAGCTACCGCCTTGCGGCGCTCCTCATCCTCAGCTGCCGCCTGAGCTCCGTTCTCGAGCTCGCGGAGCCGAGCTTCAGTCTTGTCTCGCTCACCTGCCAGCTGGACGAGCTCCTCGTGCGCCTTCTGGACGCGGTCCTCGGCCTTCTGCACGGCCTGATTCTTCTCCTCCAGCGCCTTGCGGGTTGCCGTGAGCCTGCGCTCAGCCTTGCCCACAGCGTTGGCGTCGCGGTGCATCCTGGCCGCTCTGGAGAGGTTGGCTGCCTTAGCCTGCGCCTTGGCTGCCTTCGCCTTCTCCGGCTCGGCACGTGCACACGCCAGCTGGCCGCCGATCCGGGTCTCGAAGTCGGCGGAGACACCAAGGGGCGGGTGCTGGAGATAATCCTCCAAGCTGCGCACGGTCTCGGGGTAGTCCTCGACCTGGCTCGCTGGCTGGGCGGCGCCGCCAGCTGGGCCATCGCTGGCCTCACCTGCGCCCGCCGCTGCATTGGCCGCCGAAGCCTGCGTAGCCGCGCGAGCTGCTCCGCGCGCGCGCGCCTCTGCCCCTACCGCCCGCGGGACTGCTCCACTGCCTTGGGCGGTGGAGGCTTCTGGTCCTCCGCCGCCTTGCCTCCTGCCTTGACCCACGGTGGGGCTTTGGCCTTGCAGCCAAGGCACGTGGTGCGCCAGCTCCAGTTCCACTGACGGCAGCTGGCCGCACTGCATACCCAGTAGCCGCCGCGCGCGCCGCCGCGGGAGCACAAAGCAAAAGTTATGCGGCTCGCAGCGAGGAGGTCCTCGCGCTCAAAGCACCTCGGACGACTTGCGGTCTTCGGACACTCCATGGCCTTGAGCCAAAACGGCTGAGGACCTTGGGCCATCTTGGACGCTCTAACGCTTGACCGAAGGGGACGAATGGGATTGGAAGGGGACACCCTCTAGACCACCTCCACCCGTGAGGTTATCAATTCTGCGGTCTTCTTTGCGCGGGCCCGAACCAACATGAGGCGTGGACGGAAAAGAGGAAAGAGGGAGCAGTAGAAGGACGGAGTAAGAAAGTCCCAGATGAAGAGAGGGAGACGGAAAATGTTCGCCGCAGCGTGCAAGGAATCGTGTCTTCAGGGTCACACTTTGGCGACTCCTCATTTTGCCACAGCACAAGCATTTTTCCAAAGCACAAGGAGTCCATTCGATGGGATGCTGCTCGGCATGGTGGCCTTGTGTGGGAGAGATCGACATCTGCATCGGCGTGTCTCTTGGCGCATTTTGTGATCGCATGTCGTTGGACGCGCACCGCATGGACCGTGGAGTTTGGCTGGCACAGTATCCCCATCGCTGGTTTCTGGCGGTGTGCCCAGCGTGCCCCCGAGCGTGCCTCCGTGGAGCTGCCTCGAGAACCCGCTTGCGCGCACTTCGGCGAAGTGGCCCGAGGTCCCCGCTGTGATGCTCCAGCGAGAGGGCCCGATAGTGCCAGAGCAGTGCGATATAGAGTCTAGGAACGCACAAGAAATCGGCCCCCAAAGGGCAGGGGCGATGTAGACTGTGCTCCCCCCAGGATTTCTTAGAGCAAGATGTCTCATCGTACGCGCCTGCTGTAGCAAGATTGCCATGGGTGCACGGCTCCGCGCACGTGCGGAGGACACTGGGCCTTCTGCAGCGAGCCCACATCCCCTCGAAGCGGATCTTTGTCTTTGCCGATCCGACGCAGTACGCCAGGCTGGACCATCCTCGTTTGTGTCAGCGTGGTTTCTTCTCTTTTCGGAGAGGCTCTGTGTACACACCACGTCGTTTAGTCGGCCAGGGATGCGCGGATTTCGGTGAAGGAATTCGGTGTACAGACGCTCCAGCGTCCCACGCGTTTGGCAGCTGCGGCGTCTATACACCGAACTTCTTGGCCGACCATGCGACGTGGTGTAGAGATCGAACCCTTCCCATGTTTTGTGTGACTCCACGCTCACGCCAATGGTTTCGTGTTGGGTTGGATTCCTCGTGCGATCATGATGACCTTGATGGCCAGGCTGCCATTGGCGGCAATCCGCTCAATGGAATGAATGTGCGTAGTTCCATCGTCGGCTCCGTGATCGAATCGAATTTCCTACCAGCACATGCGTTCGCAATGCACGCAGCCATGCTCGATTGCTGCCCCTGTGGGCGTCGAAGTAGCGTGCATGTGCAGATACCAGATGTCGGCAAGCTCACTTTGTGTAGCACTTGTTGCTTCGACGTTAGCGTGCCATTGCGCTTTGCATCCATGTGCCATCCACTGCCATCGTATCGCCTTCTGGCTCCGGCCCCTGCTGAACGACGTCTGGGAGCTTTAACAGGGCATCTCGGGGTCCCGTGAGGTGCCTCGCGGGGATATCCCCAGGTTTCGAGCACACGACGGCTCGACACGTGTTGTTCGATGCTCCAAATCTTCAAGGTGATCGTCGATGGGTGTTCGATGGCCGTCGATCTGAGTGGGTCCAGTGCCACGGAGTACTCTGATGCTCTTCTTTGCTGGGGCCCCAGGGGGTCACCATGTCCGCGCGTCAATCTTGGCAGCGCTGGGAAGGATCGCAGTCACGAGATGGTTATGATTTGGCGAATGAATTACGCATTGGATTTTCAGTATGATCTGGGCGACAGCATGTGTTACGTGATGTAAGCATGTTTGTCGCCTGGTTTCAGATTTGCCATCGCGTTCTACCATCGGGGAACACGATGTTGCACCTTACGATGCGACGAGTGATGATTGCCATCAGGTACGAGAAGCAGCTGCGACATTTGGACGTTCACATTCTACCTGGAGAGCGCGGTGTGTGTGGCCAGCGAAATCTTATTATGGCGCATTTCGCGCCTGGCACTCGCATTGTTGAGATGGATGATGATATTGATGGCGTGGACGTCACGACAGCTTCTGATAGAGACACTCAGGCATCAAGGGGTGGAGTCGTAGTGCCATTTGTTAATGTGTAGTGCTGAACTTGCCAATGATGCCACTGAGCTGCATGCTTAGTTGGACATGCGAAAGATCAGGGGATGTAGGATCGATGTGATCGGGGTCCGCATGTGTTTTTTGTGGATTCGGTTGGCAGCCGGTCTGAGTGAGAAGCAATTTCGTGCAGGTCGGCAGATGGGGTCCAAGCAATTCTCCGCCGCAGCGTGTGCGAGGCGCACTGGTCGGACAGGACTCAGTCGTTTGGTGGATCAGGAGCAGCGGCGGGTGAGGGATCTCGGCGATTGGTAGTGCCAGCGAGAGGAGCATGCCGAGAGCGGAACGCGGTTATTTGCATTGGTTATGCAAGTCCACCTGTCACTTGCCCCCAAGCCCGTTTTGATCACATACGTTGCTTAATTAATGGGATTGTGCGCCATGGGAGAGTGTGAGATACTCTTGAGCATCTCGCCTTCGGTCTGGTGATGGGGCGGCTAACGAAGGAATTGCTGAGTACGGGGAGGGAGCGACCCTTGCACGAGTACCTGATACGAGCGTGGCGAACGTTATCGACCATCTATGGGAGGTCTGGGAGTGAAGAAACACAGCCCAGCGCGATCAGTGCTTTGGCGTGCCTGATCTGTAGATGCTCTTTTTCCCCCTCCTTCCCCCTCGTTCCTTGTTCTTCGTCCGTGGGCCCATGCTGCTCGTGCTACAGTGGCGTTGCGACGGACGTTGGGCACGTCCTCCGTCTCAAGTGGAGGCGCAGCTCCACGGTGGTGATGTGTCTTGTCTGGAACTTTCCGACTGCTGCTGCTGCTGCTGTTGCCGCTCCTCTTAGGGCTCCGATTGTGAGCCCGTGACCTCTCGGTCGGCAGGAGGAGCAGTGGGGAGGGTTGGGGGATGAGAAGGGGAAGAAGGAGGAGTTGGAAGATGGCGGGAGGAGGCGTAGAGAGAGGAAGAGGAGAAGGAAGAGGAAGACGAATAGGAGGAATTGGAAGATGGGGGAAGGAGGACCGGTGTAAACCAACAACGCACCAACGATGTTGCAATACACCCTCCCTCCAAGTTCCTTCGTCATATGGCCCCAAAAAGGTAAGGCCATTGCGGGAAATGCCCGGTTAGAAGACAACCGTCTGAGAACCTTGAACCATGCCAAACCAGAGTTCTTGGTTTTCTTTAGGCCGCGGACCAACTTGCCTGTTGCGTCCGCCCTGGGAACCTAGACCCGTGCCAGATCGTTGTAACAATGTTTCTGGTACTCCGACACCGCGAACCAACGTGGTTAATGAGCCCTGACAATCCAACATCGCCCTATGACACCGTTCCTGGGGCTTCGACCATACGCATCCCTGAACCTGTTGCAAACGTTTAGACGAAGGTGCGAGGCGTTGAGGAGAGAGCAGCATGTTCGAAGCTCCCACCCTCCACCCTCGAATTGCTGCAGGCTGTCAAGACGAATGTATGCGGCAATGAGGCGAGAGCCACATTTTGAAAGACGCACACCATCCATCCTTAAACGTTCTAGAGGCTTTGCAGAAGAATTTGCGCGGCGATGAGGCGAGAGCCACATTCCAGAAACCACACGCCTTCCACCTGTCAAGCTTTTGTAAGTGAATGTACGCGGCGCTGAGGCGACGGCCACATGTTGAAAGCCACCTGCCACCTATCAGTAAAATTGCTGCACGCTGGTAAGACGAATGTGCGCAGCGATGCTGCGAGAGCCACAGTTTGGAAACCACATGGCTTCCATCAGTGGAATTGCTGGAAACTGTTGGGGCGAATGTGCGCAGCGCTTTGACGAGAGCCACATTTTGAAAACCACCCGCATTCCATCAGTGACACGACTGCACAATGTTGAGACGAATGTGCGCAGCGCTAAGGAGAGGGCCATCTGTTGAAAACCACCTACCCTCCATCCGTGAGGCTGCTGCAAATTGTTAAGACAAGCGTGCGTGGCGCTAGGGCGAAGGCCACATGTTCAAAACCACCTGCTCTCCATTCGTGAAGCGGCTGCACAGGTCAATCTCTGGGATCATAAATGGCGCGGGAGTCTCAAGCAGGACGCCCAGCCCGCCCAACGGACGCATCTACGGTGCGAAGGGGAAGAGATATTTGCAAGAAAAAGGGATGGAGGAGGAGGAAGAGGAGGAGGAGGGGGAGGAGGAGAAGGAGGAATTCGAGAGGCACCTGCCGCTCGAAAGGCGTCTCCCACCCTTCCCCCCTGGCGCCGAGCGGGAGACTGCCCTTACAAGCAGGGGCCCCCTGCTGGATCCATTTCGATTCGATCGATCTGATTCGATATCGGTTCTGGCGCGGCCAATCCGATTCGATTCCGACTCAGCGCCGATGCACCCCGATTTCTCGCACATTCCGATTCGATCCGATCTCTCGACTCGATGCTCATCGGTTTTGCCTGTGTAGACAAGAGATCGGCTGCTGGGAGGAAGACCAAGTGTCTTCGGCTTCAGAGGTCGAGCTCTCGCTCCCCTCGGATGGCCAGCGGAAGCTCGGCGAAAGCCGGCGGAAGTAGAACACACCCTCCCCAAGAGTTGCAAGCTTGTCAGGACTCGGGGTCGTTGGAGCCGGCTACATGTTACCTTGAGGTCTGAGGGCACCCTCCTTCTAGCTCTGAGGGGTGGTGGGTCGAACGGCACCTGTTGGATCTAAGGGCCCCTCGTGGGCTGGCCCGAGTGAGCGCCCGAAGCTTCATCACAGCAGGACGTGCTGGCGGCTGGCGCCCGACCGGAAGACTCGGCTGGCGGTATTTGGACAGTCGGTTCGGGTGTTGTTGGAGGCGTCCCTGGCCCCAAAAAGCCCCAAGGAGCTCTGGGAAGGCCCCTCGCGGCCCCCCGAGCACCCCGCACGAGGCCCAGGAGGCCAGGGGCCCCAAGGTGGCGCGCCAAGCTGGGGGCGCCCTGGGCCAGGGCCACCCTCCCGGCAGCTCCCGAGCGGTGTCTCCCCGCAGGTGTCCGCCAGGGAGGGGTGCTCCCTCTGGGGCCTGTATGGCGTTCGCAACCCCTTCTTCATGTCGCACACGTACACGGTCGGCCTGGCGAAGAGCACCGCGCAGGCTGCCTCCTCAACCTCTCGGCTCTCTCCCGGCACGGACCAACAAGACCTCTGGCGAGGCGTTCTGTGGACGACACGCAGACGTGCGCGGCTGATTCTGAGTGTCTGGGCGTTGCCAGAGGTGTTGTTGACCCAAGGTGGCCCCAGCTTCTGCAGGGAGCGCACATGGCCTCAAGAGCACACCTCACGTGTGTGTTTGTGTGTGTGTGCGTGTGTGTGTGTGTGTGTGTGTGTGTGTGTGTGTGTGTGTGTGTGTGTGTGTGTGTGTGTGTGTGTGTGTGTGTGTGTGTGTGTGTGTGTGTGTGTGTGCGTGCGTGCGTGCGTGCGTGCGTGCGTGCGTGCGTGCGTGCGTGCGTGCGTGCGTGCGTCGCTCCTCCTGGCTCCGAGTGTCGCTGCGCGCGTGGCCGCGACGCCAGAAAGTGTGTGCATTCTGGGATGTGTACTCTCGGTGAGCGCATGCTTCTGTTAGTATTTCCAAATCCCAAGTACGTCCCAGCAGGCCCCCACCGCATTGCAATTCTCTTTATTTCTGCCGCACGTGCAGTCACTCGGTCTGCATTGTTCTGGTCGAGACGCAACGTCATGATTGCACCCACACGCCCCTCCGCCACATCCCACGTGTTCCTGCCTGTGAGAAAGGGGTGTGGAATGGATGCGCTATTCAGCAAAGCCGTGTGTTAGCAGAGGTAGCGGCCGCAGTAAGAGGGATCAGCAGCAGCCAGAGTATAAGCATGACCAGTAGCAGCACGATGGGTTTCAATTACATTCGCAGGGGCAGTGGCAGCATGAGCACCAATAGTAGTCCTAGCGGCACCAGCAGTAGAAGCAGCAGCATTTGCAGTAGCAGCAGTAGCAGTACTAGTACACAGTATTCGTGGACACCGAAGTCGGAGAACTCGTAACGGTGACAACCTCAGCGGCAGAAGGTGCAGCAGTAGCAGAAACAGCAGTAGCAGCAGTCATTATGAGCAGTTGAGTAGTAGACGTAGGAAAATTGGCCTGGTGTTCATGACGGCCGCAAAAGTTTCACGCCAGCATATCTGTCGCAGCCTTCGCGGGTTGAGGAGTGGCAGCATAAGTTGCAACATTGGAATTCGTGATAGTGTTGCCAGAATGTGTAGTAGGTCGCTGTTCTAGCAATAGTGTCGTAGCGGTGGTAGTCGTAGCCAGCTCGCGGAGAATCCAGTTCTAGACGCTTCGTGTATCCCCACCAGCGGCGTCCCAGTGAATGCGGGGCATTTTGCTCCGTGCACGTGCATTGCACGCCTAGCGTGGAATTTGCCTGTTCCGCCGTCCTGGACACGCCTGTTGCCGGCTGACCTTTGTCGCGCGGCCGCCGACCAAAAAAGTATCCCCACCAGCCTATCCAGAAACGATGCCCAAGCGAGCTGCCCAGATCAGGCACGTGGGGGAGCATGCAGTGGAAGCAAGACTGGGAAGACGTCATACCCCAACAGGGGGAGGACGGATGAGAAACCAGAGGAGGAGGACGTGGGTGCCTCTTGGGCACCCTTGGGAGCCTCGGGGGCCATCTCTGGGCCATCTAGGAAAAGATCGATCAAAAGAGGTGGGCTCTCTACTGAGGGCTCCCCCTTCCAGGAGGCCAAAATGTGGCCAAGGCCAAATCGAAATCAATGGTGCTGGCCTTCTCGGTGCTGGCCTTCTCGACGAGGCCTCCTGTGGAGTCTTGGGTGCCTCTGAGGGGCCTCTTGGGGGTCTCTTCGGAGCTACTAGGGAGCGGAAGACGACGACGTTTTCCGAAACGATTTCTTCCGGGACGACTTCTTCTGGAAGATCTTTGGAAGATGCCTGGAATAATGTTCTGGGAAGAAGTCGCCGAGAAGAAGAAGAAGAAGTCGTGTCCGGAATCAGTCGCCCAGAAGAGGTCCGCCGGAAGAAGTCTTTTCGGAAGATCTAGCTTAGTGAAGGATTTGTCCCAGGATGTCGCCTCGGAAGAACTCCTATTGGAAAAAGTTGCCCAGCTGCATGGACGCCAGCTGGGGAAAGGTAGACATTGATATCGTGGCTTTCCGTTTGCACTTCTGCTGCTGCTGCTGCTGCGCGTTTGGCTGGTGCGGTGGGGTATACATTGGAGGAGCGTTGGTCAATATAAGAGCACCTCTGCTTTCCCGGCAATACAAAGCGTTCGCGGGGCGCACGAGCATGACCCAAGATTTTTCCCCAAAGTGTGTGTTCGTACTGTTCTCAACCATCCTGCAGTGTGGGGTCCTCGTTTTGCGAAGAGAGCGCCCCGCGTTCTCCTCCCCCTCCCAGTGCCTACCCCCTTATTGTTGCTTTCCGTCAGAGTTTACCATGTGGACACCCCTCACACGCTTCGTGGCCCCATAGGGAGCTCCACTGACACCCATTGCGGCACACCCCTCACACGTTCCTGGCCCCACGTGAAGCTCCACCGAAGGTCCCAGTGGCACCGTCCGCATGCGTCCCCTTTTCGATTTCGGCACACCCCTTACACGTTTCGTTCACCGAAGGTCCCAGTGGCACCGTCCGCATACGTCCCCGCTTCCGATTTCTGAACTCCCCTCACACGTTTCGTGACCCCATAGGGAGCTCCACTGAAGGTCCCAGTGGCACCGTCCGCATGCGTCCCCGCTTCCGATTTCGGCACACCCCTCACACGTTTCGTGGCCCCATATGGAGCTCCGCCGAAGGTCCCCGTGGCACAATTGGCATGCGTCCCCGCCGCCCACGTCGACACACCCCTCACACGTTTCGTGATCCCATATGGAGCTCCACTGAAGGTCCCAGTGGCACCGTTCGCACGCGACCCCGCCACCCATTCCTGCACACCCCTTACACTTCTCTTGACCCCGTATGGAGCTCCACCGAAGGTCACAGTGGCACAATTCGCATGCGCTCCCGCAACCCAGATCGTTCCACCCTTCCCGTATGGAGCTCTACCGGAGGTCCCAGTGGCACCGTCCGCATGCACTCCCGCCACCACTGTCGGCGTCCCAGTGGCATAATTGGCAGGCGTCCCCGCCACCCATGTCGACACACCCCTCACACGTTTCGTGGTCCCATATGGAACACCACTGAAGGTCCCAGTGGCACCGTTTGCGTCCGTCCCTTACCACCCCTTTCGGCACAACCCCACAAGTTCTGTTGTTGGGTCCTTGACCAAGCTAATTTGTTTGATATGGGGTGGGGGGGGGACATTGGTCCTGGTTGGCTGCAGGTCGCCTGGGGTTGGGAGTGTTGATCGATAGGGAGCAGTGATCATTAATCCATCCCCGTAGGGGAAGAAGGGGGGTTGGAAGAGGAAGCGCTCTACACCATTTACGCCCTAGCTGGTGGGATTTGTCGGAGGGGCGCTTGTTGTAAGTCGCTGTTGCAACAATAGCCGTCACAGATCTGGTGCGGACCCCTTGCTGATTATGCCACCAAGAAGTGCACAGAGGTTCCCTCTCGAGGTTGCGAAGTTCTTCTATTTGGCCCCTGCATGCGCGGATTGTGACCGCCGACCGTTGTTCGTTCGTTGAGTGTGTCGGCCTGTTTCGCCACAATATGCGTAGGAATATGCGTAGGCCACAATCGTACAAACTATAAGTATTGTCGTTGTGACCTTTTTTCCCTATTTCCTAAGATGGGGCTCTTGTACGCCTCCGGCCCAATCTTCTTCACGGAGTCCATGACAGACTCACTGTCCTTCGCTCAGGCTCAGCCACAGGACTTCCTCATTCAGATTCACTCAGACTCAGACTGACTCAGATCCATTCAGGGAATTAGCTTCAGACGCAGACTCATCACTCTAACACACTTTTCTTCATTCAGACTCACTCAGACCCTTCTGGTGGTCCACTGCTCACATACAGCGCGCGGGGCACTTGGGCACCCCAAGGGGGCGCCGCCAGTAGGTATGACATTCGCCCGTTCGCACCCAGATTGTGGTGATGTCTCAAGCGGTTTGCCTGTTTTCTGCCCTGGAGGTGTTTCTCTTTGGTTGTCCATTGCTCACAGCGATAATGCAGGCGTGGCACTTGGGCACCCTAGGGGGTAGCCGCCAGGGTGGTTTTCACCGGCCTGGTGATGTCTCGGGCGGTGGTGTCTCGGGCGGTTTGCCTTCTTCTGCCCCCCGAACGGCTTTCTTGTGATGGCCGACCTGTTCACTGCGACATAGCAAGCGTAGCACTTGGACATCCCAGGGGGGAGCAGCCAGGGGGTATGACACTCGCCCGTTTGCGCCCGAATTGTGGGGATGCATCAGGCATTTGGGCTGTTTCTGACCCCCAGGCTTTTCTCGTCTGGTGGTCCACTGGCAGGCGGGGAGCCGCCGGCGGGTACGACGCTCGCTCGTTCGCGCCCAGGTTGTGTGGATGTCTCAGGTGGTTTGCCTGTTTCTGTCCCCGACGGTTTTACGTTCTGGTGGTCTACTGATCACCGCGACATACGCACCCCACGGAGGAACAGCAGGGGGGTCACACATTCGCCCGTTCGCGCCAAGGTTGGTGAGATGTCTCAGGCGGTGTGCCTGTTTTCTCCCCCGGACCTTTCTGTTCTGGTGATCTAGTGCCCACCGCCATATAGCAGACGTGACGCTTGGGAACCCCGAGGTGGAGCTGTCAGGGTGCATGTTGTATTTTACAGGCCAGTTCGCGCCTAGATTATAGGGGCGTCTCAGGCGGTGTGCTGTTTCTGCCCGCCAGGCTGTTCACAACGATGTAGCGGGCGTTGCGTTTGAGCACCCCACAGGAAAGCCGCCAGGAATGGGAGCACTCCAGGATCTGCGCCCAGCTGGCGGGGATGTCTCAGGCAATTTGCCTGGTTCCCCCCCCCCCAGACTTCCCTTTGGAGTTGTGTGCTCCCCACTCACTCACTCACTCACCTGCTGCTTCTCCTCCCTCTCCTCCTCCTCCTCCTCCTCCTCCTCCTCCCCCTCCTCCTCCTCCTCCTCCTCCTCCTCCTCCTCCTCCTCCTCCTCCTCCTCCTGCTCCCTTCTTTTCACTCACACGTGTTTATTCACATTCAGATTTGATCATCAGCTCCAATTCTTCTTCTCCTTAACATTACTATTGTTCTTGTCTGCATGCAGATTCTTTCATCCCGTTCAGATTTGCCCATGCGCAGGGTCATTCATACCCAGACCCGCTCACACTTAGACTCCATGAGACTCTGACTCACAAACTCAGAGTCACGAGCACCCAGACTAACTCACACTCAGAATCAGTCAGGTTCAGTTTTCCCCATCCTCAGACTCGCTCATACTCAGACTACCTCGTACACAGGCCCATTCATATTCGAAATCGCTTTCATCACACTCATACCCAGGCTTACGCACACTCTGACTCACTCGCAGTCAGACCCACTTAAACTCAGACTCGCTCGCCCCCATATTCAATCATACCTAGATGTGCTTGCACTCCAACTCGCTCACACTTCGTGCACTCACGCGCAAGTTCGCTAGCACTCAGGGTGACGCGCACGTGGCTACCGCGATAGAGCCGTCGTGTCACTTGGGCGCACCAAATTGAGGCAGGCGCCGCGAGTAGCACGCCAGACCGCGGGCGTAGCAACGCCATGCGCGCTTGCCTGAGTTGCCGCAGTGTGAACGGCAAGAGGAATGTCCCTTCGCTCTTCCGCTCGTGCTTCCCTCGTCCCTCCTGAAAGATGTCCAGACGAGGAGGACGTCACTGAAATCGTCGCTGTCGTCGTCGTTGTCGCGGTTGTCGTCTACGCGGACTCGCGCTTACACCCATAGGAAGAGAGAGAGAGAGAGAGAGAGTTCTTCAGCGAGACGTGGCAGGAGGTATGAGATGCACATATAGGGACCTCCTCGTCGAACGGCTGTCTAAGCATGGAGCTGAAACCGGATGTTCCTCCCAGAAGCGCACACGTGCACGGAGCACCATGGAGATTCACTGGTGGGGACACGCGTTGTGACATCAGTCCAGGGCCGCACGCGGCAGCATCTCCATCCGGACGTCAGCTCAGCAGCGTGCTCCTTTCTTCTGCGTGGTCGGAGCAGGCGCTCGCCCGTGGGAGGGTCAGCTGGGCATTGCGAGCCACATGGGCGTTTTTCTGGCAAGCCCCATGGGATGGCTCCGGCATCGTTGGAAGTCGCGGGATCCATCGCCACAGCGCGCCCGCAGTGCAATCAGAAGGGGATGGAACCAGAGACCAAGCCGGTCCATGGTGCTCAAAAATGTTCTCCCGCCCAGGGGGATGATGCATGCAAGCCGCGGGTGGCACCGTGATGTATGTGGAGAGATGGACGGGCCTGCCCAAAGCAGGTAGGAGCATGAGAGAATCGCCGACCCACATTCGACATTGACTTCGGCTTCGAGGTGCAGCGGGCGCCATCGGATCTCATAAATCTCGCGCGCCGCATCCGACAGTGGTGCTTGCAAGGTGCAGGGCTACGTCAACCCTGGGAGCGTCGTCAAGCTCACAGTTCCGTGCATGGAAGACTACGAGCGGTGCCTGTCGCTGTTCGCCCAGGCAGGGCGGGGGAGCATGGCAGGGCTTGTCAGGCTCTCTGCGCAGACGCCTCTCTCCCACCGGGATCTGCTGCCCAAATCTCTGGCAAAAACAGTGTCAGTTTGTGTGCCATTGCCTGGCCGAGAGAGCCGGCGGTCTGGGCATCCCGAGGGCTTGCTCGAACGTCGATGGCAGAGTATCAAATAAAGATGTTGGTCATACTACGTATTGTGTGCATGCGCTAGATTGCTAATTTTGTAGCCAGGTTTTAAGGTACGTGCATACGTGCGCATTTCTAGTTGGAAAGGTCGTGGGAGGCCCAAGCGGCTCAACTCACAGGCCCTACTGCCTATACGGGTGTATGTTCTGCCATGGTCGACGTGGTATCTCCATGCGCGCCACATCAGACAAGGCGAAGGCAACCCTTATCGCACAGCACAGAAAATGTGATTGCAATGGCCACGACATCACATACACACATAAATATAATCATGTTGCTTCGAGCGATCCCCACCGAAACCTTCGGCGTTCGGTCCCAACGGTGCGCACTTACTGGAAGGACCTGCGTAGTGCCCGGCGTTGCTGCATTGAAAAGCGTTGGACCGTATTCCATGGAATAACTCTCTAACATGTTATGCTCGGCTATGTCCAGTTATGTTCTTGACGGGCCAGCGTGACGTCGTGACGCCTCGGCGGCACCGTCGAATTGTGGCTTCTGTATACGTGATGTTGTGCTAAAGTGTGTGTGTGTGTGTGCGCGTGTGTGGTAGGACTCTGCCCCGATTGTAGAATGTGACGCTGTGTTCTCTGATGTTCTGATATCGACGGGCCGGCGTGAAGTCGGTCATGCTAGAGACATCGTTGTGTCGCTCATTGATGTGACTCTTGATTCCTGTGGCGACGCTGACCAACATGCACGTATGGTGTACTATGTTACGATATCCCTCTGCCCTTCCGTCATCACATTCGTGAAGGTATGTTCTGTCATGCACGTTTCTGCATCAGTATGCGTTGCGCACATTATGTTTTACTCTGCCCGTTAGCACCATGTTAGGGCATGATCTGTTCTCTCAGCCCATGTTATACTGTGATATGTGCCGTGACGGTGTTGCCGGCTCGGCTCAATACAGTGAAGTTTGATGCTTGTATGTTTTGTTATGTCCTGATCTGTCGTGGTATTCCTCTCCTCCACTGCACTACTGCCGTTTCTGCATTCAAAAACGGTTCAGCCGTGTTCCATACAGTAACGATCTTTCATGTTATGTTCTATTAGGTTCTCTTCTGTTGTCGACGGGCTGGTGTGACGCCTGTGACCTTAGATGTGTCGTCTGTTATGATGCCCTTCTTCACCTATATGTTTCTCTTCTGGTTGAATATGGTATGGTATGCTCATATATGTCACCATATGGTTGGAGATGCTATGCTATGATCTGCGTTGCGGCAATGTGTTATTCAACGAGATGTTGACATATCATGTTATAGTATACTCTGTTCCGTGATGCTGTTGACGGCTCGGTTCAGCACATTATGTTTGATATGTTCTGCTACTATGTGTCGCAATGCTCTGGTGCCATGGTGTGACATGTTGTGTGATGTTGTGTCATGATATGATGTGCCTTGCCATAGTGTGCTATGTGTTGCTCGGTTCTACTATGTTTTAATGTGTTATGTCGCCTTCTGTGCAGTCATGGTGGGCTAAGGTATGTTCTGAGATGTTGTGTTTGTGGTCGGCTCGGCACAGTATAATATAGTTTGACCTGCTATTCTGGTGTGTGGCGATATACTATACGGTCGTATTATGACATGTTCTGCGATAAAGTGAAATGATATGGGATGTTCTGCCAAGGTGTCTTATTTCTTTCTCGGCTATGCTATAGTATGGTGTGGTATGTCGCTTTCTGGTCGACCATGTTATGCCATGATGCCTTGTGATGTTGTATCATGTTCTGTGTTGTCATGGTTTTGCTATGCTATGCTCTGTCATGTTATGGCATGCTCGCGTTATGTTATGGTATCTTCTAGTGTGACATGTATTGTTCTGTCGTGTTCGCCGCTATGCTCTGCTGTCGTCTGATGGTATGTTTGGTGGCGCTGTGTCATGGCATGATATGTTCTGTCAATGTGTCTTATGTTACGCTCGGTTCTCTTATATCATCTTGTGTTCTGTCGTTTGCTGTTATGTCATTCTCTGCTCTGGTATGTTATGTGATATGCTGGTGTCCTCTATTTTGTCATGATGTTGACATGTCATGTTCTGCCATGTTCTGCCATGTTCTAGCTCTGTTCTGTCAGTTTCTGTTGTGTCATATTGTGTTCTGCCGTGTTTGTCGAGGGCGCGAGGCGGGATGCCCAGGACACTCGGGACAAGTTGGGGTCTGGCGGCCGCGGTATGCAGGGTGTGTTCTGTCGTGTTTGTCGAGGGCGCGAGGCGGGATAACCGGGACACTCGGGACAACTTGGGGTCTGGCGGCCGCGGTATGCAGGGTGCGTCCTGTCGTGTCTGTCGAGGGCGCGAGGCGGGATAACCAGGACACTCGGGACAACTTGGGGTCTGGCGGCCGCGGTATGCAGGGTAGGAGTGACCTGGAGGTCTGTTCTGAAAATCTAACGGTTCCAACCTGTCCGGTGGGGAACAAACACACCCATATGTTGTGCATGCGTGGGACATGATGGTACGCTGACTGAGCAGTTCTGAAGGTGGCCTGGCCGATTTATAACGCGGTGGCAACCTTCAGAAAGAACCACCACATCCGATTGCAGGAGCATTGCACTGCACCGCGCGCCATTAGACCACGGATTCGAACCTCCCGACTGGACTTGACTTGGGATTCGCACTCCACTTCGCGGCATCACCCGGCACTGGGCCATCACACCAGATTTCGAGGCACCACGCAAGGTGCCGCGGAGGACTGCACGGCGCAACGCCGCGCTAGACCGCTCCCACACAGCACAATGCCACACGGTACTGCGCCACACGACATGGCAGCAAAGACGACACCAAGCGACCCGCACCGACACGCAATTCTATATTCCAGATTGTTCGGCCGTTGTTTGCCGTAGACTTAAGACCTCTTGAATTGGTTTTGTTTCGGAACCTCACGATTCGATTATCGGGGCCGCTTTCTTTGAGAGTGCACCATGCAGTGAGGCCTCCAATCGAAACGCCAGCTGGTAACAACGTCTTGGAGTCGTATCGGAACAGCAGATAGGAACGCATGAGTTCACACTTGCTTGTATTATAGAGGACGCCTGCGGCGCATCACTGGCCGCTCCCTGGAACTTTGGCGAAGGGGCGCGCAGCATCGAGATTCTTGACGTAGCGCGCATGCCAGCTGTTCTTGCCTGGTGTTACTTGAAGGCTTCCTTGGGGTACCGAAGACGCATACGGCGAATCACCGCCGCCCCCTGTCTTTCAGGATACGCCTATTTGGCCAAACGTTTGGGCAAAGTTTGGCCGCGTTATTGGACCATGCGTTTCCTTAGCCGTTGTGGAAGCCTTTCGGGGAACACGTGGGGGAGGAAGAGGACGAGGAGAGGGAGGAAAAGGGAGGAGGAGAAGGAGGAGGAGGAGGAGACTTCGTGAGAGCGTCTTGTGTCATTCCTTGGGCCTCCTGGGAGCTTGGGGCCCCCTTTGGGCGCTTCGGGGCCGTCTTGGAGGCCATCTTGGGCGTCATGGAGCCTCTTGTGCCGTCTGGGGTTCCCGTTTGAGCCGTTTTGGAGGCTTCTTGGGCCGTCCTTGGGTCATTTTTGAGGCCGCCTGGGCGTTCTGGAGGTAACCTTGGAGAGTCGGTCATCCTTCCTATGCGGGTTGGCCGTGCCACTCGAAGGAAACCCAGCACAAAGAACAAATGTGGCAGGTCCGCGCGGATTTCCTGGATCGGCGATGGTCTCCCCCGAGCGGCGCCTCCCGCGCCCCCCCTGGCGCGCTCCGCGCGCCAGAGAGGGGGGTCCAGCGGCGATCCGCGAAGTCCGCCTGGACCTTCGAACAAGCATGTTCGCGTATGATTTCCACTGCTGGCAGTTCTTTCCATATCTTGCTGAGTTCCACACGCCGCATGAATGCGGGGTCAGCAGGGGCGGAAGTGCCTCCGAGCGAACTACCTGGCGGTGCGGACGACAAATCGTGGACCTGGTGGCTGCGCGAGTGCCTTCACTGTGACTTCGGTGGAAGTGGACCCCGGCGGGAGGGGATGCAAGTTGGCCACGATAGCATGGGGATGGTATTGTCGTTTGCGGATGGCTCAGCTTGCACACGTCTATGTTGACCCAGAATGGGGAGGATGCCATGTAGGGTGAAAGAAGAAGAAGAAGATGACGAGCTCAGTGCGAGCATGTCCATTGAAGGTTTGTTGCGCAAAATGGCCGATGATAAGGCCACCGCTGTGTTTTGCGCCCTTGTCCGACCAATACAGGCGACATTGAAGGTCACGGCGTTGGCGGAGGAAGGCGCCTGCACATCAGGGGTTTCCTTTACAGTCGAGTAGCGTATGCATCCCGTCATGTCGTGTTTTTTTCACGGACCGTCTTGGCGACTACCTGAAAGACTACCAAATACAGATGTCCACATGACAAATCACTCCTTTGTCCAGTTGAAAGTCGCCAACATTCCAAAGCCAAGATTTCGTTCCGGATTTCGCAGTGAATTTCGACGTCTCTTCTGGCCGGGAGTGAAGACCTCACAGCATCCGCGTGAAATGCATTTCCTTGTTCGTTCGCCGTTTCGGGGTTATGCATGGACAGGAACCCACGCAAAAGTTATCTGCAGCGCGTCTGCAAGGTCAGTGCAGCGACCAGTCTAGCCAAGCCAATGCAATTCGTATCAAGGTGTGGGGGGGTGCTGCCGAAGGAGCCCGAACAAGGAAGTGTACCTCATTACGTGAGAAGCGCGTGAGTGCAAGTGAACAGTACATAAAAACAATGCACACCATGACCCCCTCCAGGCCTTCCGCGCCGACGGGAGCGGGAGGAGGCCTTCGCAGGCGCGTCACGCACGCCATGAGCACGACTTGCGATGTGCCTGCCCAAGGAGCACCAGTAGAGGTACCCCAAACGACCCAAAAGGGACACACGAAGGCCCCAAGAGGGGGAATGCGGACTGACATTCTGTGCCCTCCGCCCCAGGATGATCCCCGAGACCGCCAGCAGGCCGCGCCAAGGGGCCTCCCAGAAGCCCCAGGAAGCCCCCCAAAGGCCCCGAGAGGCTCCAATGCACGTCCAAAAGCGCCCCCAAGAAGCTTCCGAGAGGCCTCCTGAGAGCTCTCCACAGACATCCGAGAGGCCGTTGACTTACAATTAGGCGCGGTGGCCGGATGGGCCGAAGGCCGCTGGATCCGCCGCGCCCTGTGGCTTGCCACAGGGGTGCACGGCGTGCCAAATTTCTGAGCAGTTTGGGTTCTTTTCATGGTTCCCATGTGGGTTTCGGCCCACTCGCCGGCCGCGCGGAAAGTCACGTAGGAATTGGGAGGCAAGGCCATTGACGGTTCCAAGACGGCCAAGATGGCCTAATCGTGCCTCCAAGATGCCTCCAAGACCTTGAAGAGGGCCCCCAGCGAGCCGAAGGTGGTTCCAATACGTCTCCAAGACGGCTACAGATGCACCCACGACGGCCCAAGATGGCCTCAAGATGGCCCAAGACGGCCCCCAAGACGCCCAAAGAGGGTTCCAAGAGGGTTTTCAGGAGGCCTAAACCATTGATTTGTCTTTGGTTGTTTCAAGATTTTAGCGTTCCCGCCTTTTCGGCCTGCCCCAGCGCCACGACGGCCGCATAGGTCCCCGAGATCGCACCGCGACGGCCCCAGAAGCCCCCAAGAGGCCCGCAGGACGGTCCAAGGGGGCACCAGGACGGCACAACAGGCTCCCAAGACTGCCCCGAAAGGGACTAATAGATCTCCAAGATGGCCCTCAACCGGCCAAACAGGGACCCACAATTGCCTTAGAGAGAGGCCTCTGACGTCCTCCGAACGCCAAGAGGTCCTTTAGAGGCCCCCGCAGGAGGCCCGCAAGAGGCCCCAGGAGGCCCCCATACCAGGCCCTCAGGAGGCCCTTCAGAGGCCCTCGAGAGGCTCCCAGGAAGCCCTCAGGAGGCACCAAGAGGCCCTCACGAGGCCTCTTTGTCTTTCTTCTCCTCATCCTCCTCGTCCTCCTTTTCCTCCCGTGCCTCCTGCTTCCTGTCCCTCTCCCCAGTGTTTCCCTAGAGGGTTCCACGACGGCTGGGTAAACACATAGTCCACGAGTTTGGCCAGGCCTCGGCCAAACGTTTGGCCGCATGGGCGTCCCCAAAAGGCTAGGGGCGGTGGTGATTCGCCGTAGGCGTCTTCGATAATCCCAAACTCTAACATCAGGAGGAACCGTCCAGACTAAGTAACACCGAACAGCGTTACAGCTTGCGGGTTGAATATCTTCGCTCTATGTTTTAGAGTTTATCGCCGTAGCGGGGACATAGGCAGTTCGGTTTTGGCAACGGTTAGGCGGGCCGTTTATACGCGTGTATGTTGCCTTGCATGTTTGCCTCTTGGGCTTGGAACCTTTCGTGGGCCTGATAGGTCCAGCAAGGCAAGAGGGTTAGGCAGAGGGTGGCTAGATGTTGTCCCTGTAGGCCTTTCTGACATGAGTGGCGTGCTGTGTAATCTGGCATGTACCTCGCACCTCTCTCATGACCGAGGGTTGCAATCAGCAACGTGGCCTCGTACGCCTTTAGGGTGGGCCGTTCGATTCAGGGGCCTGCGCCGCATCTTGCGAATTCTAGCGTGTAACATTTCTTGTTCCTGCTCACGCCTGCTTGCTTCACATGCTCGTCGATAGCCACTCCTCTCACCTCGCCTGCCCTAGCAGACATTCACCTGTGTCGTTCACGAAGTTCCGTTTGCCTTGTTTTCTGGCGTGCGACAGAGTAGCCACACACCTGATATTATACGCTCGCGGCCTCAGCTACTCAGAACTTCATCCAGTCTCCTCGCGCCCAACCGCCCTTCTAGGCATCATCTGTTCAATCGACGGGCCCAGAGGTCCCGACCTCTTCCATGTTGGTATTTACTCGCAGGACTCATTTTTAGTTGCCACGGGGCTCGATAAAGTGTCCCAGGGCCGAAGTTTGAGGAAAACGCCCAGAGTGAAAAGCCATATCCTCCGATATCTGCCTTCTGCACTCGAGCCCGTCCATCTCCCCCGCCGCAGTCGAGCTCCAATGGCGGCCAGGTGGCCGCAAAGTGCTGCGCCACCCGCGGCACGTCATGGAGGCGGAGGCCTCCGCGACGCTGCGGGCCCGGTACCCCAACTTCGTCCGCAACGTCGGGGTGCCGGCGTCTTGCGTGAAGGTGGGGAGGGGGGGTCGCCGTTGTTCGCTTCAGAAGAAAAGGGCCGCATGAACGTAAAATGTTGGAGCTCCGCGCGGATTTCTTAGATCCGCGCTGGACCCCCCTTGGCAGTGCCTCTGGCGCCGCCCCTCGAGCGCTCCGGGCGCCAGGGAGGGGCGCCCGGTGCCGATCCCAGAAATGCGCGCGGAGCCTCGGACCCAACAACACAAAGGGGGCTGGAACAAACAGGAGTAAGAGGCGGAGGAGGAGGAGGAGGAGGAGGAGGAGGAGGAGGAGGAGGAGAAGGAGGAGGAGGAGGAGGACGAGGAGGAGGAGGAGGAGGAGGAGGAGGGAGAGAAGGCGGTGCCACTGGCGCGAGGGTGCGATCGGATCGACCTTTCTGGCCGCCCCAGGTGTCCCGTTCGCGGGTGCTGGTCCCTTCTGGGAGCCCCTGGGGCCGTGGCTGGGGAGGAGGAGGAGGGGGGGGCGGAGGAGGAGGAGGAGGAGGAGGAGGAGGAGGAGGAGGAGGAGGAGGAGGAGGGGGAAGGAGAGGGAGCAGGCGGAAAGGAGACGCGCAGGGCTGTGGACTCAACGGGGGGCCGAACAACACACCAAGGTCGGAAATCACAGTTGTTGAAAGAAGTCGGCCTCGGGGAAATCTTGTTAAGGTTCCGTGGATACCTCGAACCGTCGTGCGATGGTATCGGGGCTTCTTGAAAAGGCGCCCCATGGGAGCGTGCCGAAAGGCCGCGCAGAAGCATTGTGTCCAGCAGCCGCGATAGTTCAGACTGGACCTGTGGTTGGAGGTCACATCGTTCCAATCTGGCCACGGTCGGGAACTTTGGTTTACGCAGCGTGTCGCGCCGCTTGCTCTGGCCCACAACGCTTTGGCGCGACACGCTATCCATGTCCCAGTCCACTATCATGAACGCCCCCAGTTCTTCCCAGCGTCCCGCCACACACAGCGGAGCGACACGCCATCTGGCATGCTCGCAGGGCATAGCGAGTCGCAGGAGTTGCCGCCGCGACACGCAAAGTGTTCCGTAGCGGGGGCCACCTAGGGCTTTCCGAGGCCATTTTGGAGCCACATAAGGTTGTTTTGGACGCCCCGACCGTTCGGTGAAACCACCGTTCATACCAGGGGAGGGTATAATGGGGGAGGTGCAAACCTGTTCCCGAAACGGAATTTGGGGCTAGAAGAGCTGAGCAGTTAAACCACCTACACCCAGTGGTTCAGAGGGCTGGTGGCAGTTGGCGGGCTGTCGCGTATCATGTAACCTTGCCGATGGCATATGATTGCAAGCCATAGCTTCGCTTTTCAACGGACACCCAGGCGAAGTTGCTTGCGTACAGCGTATTGTCGGAAGTTGCTCGGTTGACGATGACCGCCGCACCAAAAGCATGATCATGGCAGCCCGAGCGATTAGCAGCTCGGTACGCATGCTGCAGCTGATGTCCCCCAGATTGGAACCGTAAAGTGCGATGGCGCCCTCGAGCCGAGACGCGGATGACAGGACGGCGTGTGCGTTCGAGGGGTGGGGCGGGCGGAGAAACTTGCGGCACGGCCAGTCACCAAGCTGCACGCAGCAGGCCAGCAACAGCAGTCGCAAGTTGCCCACCAGTCGTTGAACGTATTTTTTTGGGGGAATTCGGAATTACAAACTACTTTAGGCGCATGTCTGTTTCAAGTGTAGAGTGGTTTCCCCTGTTCCTTCCTCTTCAGGGGGGCAGGTGGCAACCCAATCTACGTTCAAAGCCTTCCTGCTTCATGCTTCTACCCGCTTCTTCCGAGCGGCGGGTACGTCAAAGCGGCAGATTCGCGCTGCGGCCTTGGCCCAGGCTTCTTACAGATGCCCCTCGTTGGTTAAAGATGGCGCACGAGGGCGAGCATGGGCACTACCTGTGGGCTCGGCCAGGCGGAGGCCCACTTTCATGCGTGACGTTCTTCTCTGATCAGCCCAAGGCCGAACAAACGATTCGGGCAGAATAGTGGGGGGGAAGGGGAGAGGGAGGAGGGGAGGAGAAGGAGGCGGTGTGGGAGAGGAAGGATGACGCATCCGAGTTTGCCCGCGCAGGTCGTACCTGTTCACGGGGAAGTGGTGTACCATCCTCCCGGGTGGTTGTTCTTGCTTACGCTCTCACTTGGAATCGTCGTGTCCCTTTGTCCTGTCATTGTCTGTGTTGAACGTTGGAGGAAGCGTCATCCAGCGCCGCATCTTGGTGTACGCAATGGCCTGGTAATCTGTCCTCGGCCATCTTTGGCGGCACACGAACAAAACCCGCAGCCGCTGGAGGGTGCGGAGCGGCGCGCGCGAAACCAGGAAACAAACGCACATGCGCACTTGCACACGCACGCACACACACACACACTCACACGCACGCACACACACACACACACGCACACACACACACGCACACGCACACGCACACGCACACGCACACGCACACGCACACGCACACGCACACGCACACGCACACGCACACGCGCGCACACACACACACACACACGCACACGCACACGCACGCACGCACGCACGCACGCACGCACACGCACACGCACACGCACACGCACACGCACACGCACACGCACACGCACACGCACACGCACACGCACACGCACACGCACACCCACACACGCACACGCACACGCGCGCACACACACACACGCACACGCACACGCACACGCACACGCGCACACACGCACACACGCACACACGCACACACGCACACACGCACACACGCACACACGCACACGCGCACACACAGGCACACACACGCACACGCACGCACACGCACGCACACGCACACTCGCACTTACACACACACACATCCAGACACAGCGCACAAGATCCGTCACGCGCGCGCGCGCCCCACCCCTGGGTCTCTATGTCACCTTGAGCGCCTCGCGCTTTCAGATTCTGAGTCACATCCGTCGCCCCCCCCCCGCGAAGATTCTGGAGCGAATTTCCCCGGCCACGGGGTGTTGTGAGTCGCGTCGGTCAATCTCCGATGCGCCAGTCTAATTCCATCGACGCATGTTGCGCGTGATGCTTGTGCGCTCTGGAGGGCAGCACCGTGACAGGAGGCCATACGGGCTGCCTCGCGGTGTCCACGGTGTTTTTTTTCTGGTGTTTGGGACATTGAGCATGACTTTCGATCGTCCGGCCCACGACCGTTCGCATCATAGCACCCTTCAGATTTATTTAATGCAATGACGCATCAGACACGCCAATAGCCATCGCAACGCCCTGCTGCTTGTTCCACAGCAGTTGCGAACGGGTTTTCTGCATCGGTCTGGGGTTGTTGCATTACCTTCGCGACCCTGTCTCCTGTCAGACAGCATCGGGAGGCGGATTAGGAGGAGGAAGAAGAGGAGGAGAGGAGGGGTGGGAGGAGGACGGAGGTAAAAAACGAGGAGGGGGCGGGATTTGGGGGGAGGGGGAGGGGAGGGGCACGGGACAGACGAAGGGGGGGAAGGGGGGAGGATGTCGGGAGGGGGAGCAGGGGGCCGAGGCAACAGGAAAATCCTGGCGGGGGCGATGGCGAGCCCTGGAAGGGGCCGGGCACAGGAGGACGGCAGGGTGGTGACTCAAGGCTGGTTGGAGTTCCCGGAGGCATGGTTTTGATTTGGCCTCCTGGCAGTCTCGCGCCTCGCTTTGCTCCGCCTGTCCTCAGCAACCGAGACAAAATCTGCCGAGTTCGAGCGGATTGCGCTGTCGAAGAGCCGCGGTCGTGTTGGGTGGACTGGGGACCGGCTGGCAAGCCGCAGGGACACGGACATGTCGCGTGCGGTTTGGTATGCGATTGTCCAGCTGTTGGGTTGCATGAGAAATTGTCATAATGAGAGAGATCTTCATTTTCAGTATAATCGGCCCTTTCTTGCAACGTGATGGGTTCGATCCAGACAGCTTGGAAACGGGCAAAGTGTTCTGTGTACATCGACTTTCGATTTAGACTGGCACCGCTCATCATGCGCGTTGTTAGATACCCAAAAAAACTTGCAGATTGGGAGGGCTGCAATTCTGACAAATCGACCCTTGGAGAGGTGTGTGGACTTGCGTTCACGTGGCGGCTTCGAGGCGTTTCGAAAATGATAAAGACGCGGTGCACACCCCCAGTGCGACACTAACGACACTTAAAAGAGAAAAGCCGGCTCCAGTTCAGGATGCTTGCTTAGGCAACTTCCTGACGAGATATTCCCCCCAGAACACTCGCAGATGTTGTAAGCACCCAGAAGGGGAAGCACGCAGTAGGAGAGTCGTCTTCAAGAAAAGGCGCTCAGGCAGCAAAACCAGGTCAGCAATCCCCCCCACGCTCCCGTGCTTGAGGCTGGATGAACATGCCAGGGTCCCCATTGACCGATTTGTGGAAGTCGAAGTCCTCCAAGCATGCCGTGGCTATTTTCTTTCTGCACGCTGCGGTCTCTTTGTCTCTGCGTTTGTGTGTTGTTCTCTCTCTCTCGCTCTCTCTATATCTGTCACTATCGCTCCCTCTGTTTCTCTCTCTCTCTCTCTCTCCCTCTCTCTCTCTCTCTCTCTCTCTCTCTCTCTCTCTCCGTCCACATTCGGCAGCGCTCCAGTGCGAATCAATCGTCGGGGCGCGAGACTTTTTCACATACGAAGGGGGGAGGGATCTGGCAAGGGGGGTGTACGAAATCTGCTGCATGCAGTTGGTTTCGGCCCCGCCGCTGGGCCCCTTCATCGATGCATGGCCGCCTCTGGCGCTGGCAGGCGCCGCGAAAGACAGGTACGTGAGCTGATTCGCTAGCCTCAACCTTTTGCTAGCGCCCCCCCCCTTTCGCCCGAACCGATTCGAGTTCCACACGGTCGTGCTTGTATAGGTGGCGCAGGGTTGAGTACCGTTGGCACGAGGAATACTCTGGAACGGGGATGTATCAAGTGTGGGGAATTCGCCTTCCGACTGATCTTGCCCACTCCAACCCCCCTCCACCTGTTCCGACAGCACGTGCCCAACCCCCCCAGCGGATTCAAAGGGGGGGGGGGGGGGCGATGCTCGCCCCATACAGAGTGAGAACGGCCCTGAGTTTCGGGAGGGATGCCCTCCCTGTTTCTGGTGCCCGGGGCTCTCCACCGTGGAGCGCTCTTGGCTTGGGGCATCCCCACGTGGCCTCTGGCCCTCGGCGAAGGGGCTCGTGCTCCTGGCCTGCATGCCTGTGGCCGCGCTCCGACAGCATGCCTGTGGGTGGTGTGCGGTCTCCGCGGATGTGACGGCTGCAGCTCCTGGGCGGGCCGAGCGAGGAGAGGGAGGAGGGGGGGGGGCAGGAGGTGGAGGAGGCGGAGGAGGAGGAGGGGGAGAGGCAGGGGGAGGAGAGGGGGTGGGGGAGAGGTGGGGAGGAGGGACGAGGAGGAGCCATTCGGGCGGCGCACTGTTCTGTAAATGCGGAGCCCCCGGAAGTCCTTGGAGAGCAGCCGCCCCCTTCCAGGGCGGCTGCGCAACGGGGCGAAGATAACCGCGCGTCGCGCATCGTGGGACGCGGTGCGCGAAATTAGGGAGAGCTCAGTTTTTGGGGGTGGGTGAGACCGCTCCCTAGACCTTTGATGTCGTGATTTTTTCGCATAATTGCACCTTGGAGCTCTGGACCACTTCCCGGGGACCGGTGGTTCGTCCCGAATCATTTTTCGACGGCCCTGGGGCCCAGCGAGGGCTCCAGACGCTGAAAATCACGGACGAACTCCGCCTGGATTTTGCTCGGTGCGTTCGAGGTCTGGGGCGACGTGGCCCCAAGGGTCAAGGATCAAGACTATCCGCTGCCCGCCGGAGGTGGAGGCTGCAGTTCCCAGGACGGCTGAGCGAGAAGCGGGCCGCCGGAGACGTGGCCGGGGACTTCGCACGGCTGCTTGGGCTCGGGGCCAGCCTGGTCAGGCAGGCTCCTCGGGCTTCTCCGGCCGGGAGACCCGCCAGGGGGGCAGGGCTCATTTCGACCCCTCCGATTCGATTTGTTTCGATTTCGATGGATTCAGATTCCGATTCGATTCGATCCACGGGGGCCTGCAAGCTTGCCAGCTTCTGCCGATCCGATTCATGTCGATCGCCGATCCGTTTTATCGATTCGATGATGGGCTCTCCTGGGGGGGTGCGCCGCGTGTGCGATTCCTCGCCCCCCCCCTGCCGGAAGATCTGGACGTCGCAGCGTTTTCGCACCGAGCGTGTCCGTCTCGCTGCGGGCCCCGGGGCCCCCACAGATCGATCCGACTCGGGGAGCGGCGCAGAGAGACGCGGTCCGGTGCTCTGGCCGTGATTGTCCGTGATGTCGCAATTTTCCGCGTCGTCGGATCTCACCGCATCATGATTCCGCGCGGCTCCTTGTCCCCCTCCCCGGCCCTTGACATCTCCGTGTCGTTCAAGATGTCACGACGGAAGATGTTCCAGCCGCTTCCAGCTTCCAGGGGCTCTCGATGGACCCCAGGAGTGTCAAAGAGCGATTCAGGATGAAAAGCTGGTCCCTGGGAAAAGGTCCAGAACTTATGTTGAGCCACGCAGTGACAAATCACGACGCCGGACGTTTCACTCACATTTCCAACGTTTTTAACAGTTTCTGCTTCCCTCGCCCGGCCCGGGGGTCATCAGAAAATGAACATGGGTTGAATAGTTGGCCCAGGGGACAGACTTGAGACCGTGGAGGACCGTGTTGCACAAATTATTGAACAACTACAGTACAGTCGAGCATATGATCAGGAAACCACTTCCCTGTAAGCTGAGCCAGCGTTCTTCAACCAACTTGCTGGAATGCTGGCCCAGTTTCTTGCGCACATTCGGCCCTCCAGCGTGAACAGAAACAGTTGGCCCAGGCGTGTGTTAAGACATTTCCGAGGCATTGGCCCGGATTTCTTAATTCATACATGTCTTGATCACATGTTCGACTGCATACTGGATCTGTGGATCCCTCCGCGTGGTTCTGTGCCCCCCAGCGCCCCAGCGCTGCATCTTCTTGCACGATCTCTCGCCCCCAATCCCTGACCCTGAGTACCCCCCCACACGCAAACGCAAACGCACACACACGCGCACGCACACACACACAAGCACACGCACACGCACACACACACACACACACACACACACACACACACACACACACACACACACACACTCTTTTGAGGGGGGGCGTCGCCTTCTCGCACGCAGCGTCGATGTGTAGAAGGTCGAAAACACTGAAAGAACGCAACTAGCCGCCCGAGCTCTCAGTGACCACTTAGGGCCACGCAGCAGCTGGCCGCCATAACCATCTAAGCGTGGATGGCGGGGGGACGGTCGATAGACGAGCTACGGCGAGTGGACGCCGACATAAGCCAGCCGGGGCTGAAGGCTTGGGAGCGAGATAGCAGAGTGGGCGACGAGGGGGGCCAAGGACCGACTTAGAGCAGGCGCAGCGATGAGCTGCAAGAAGTCGCAGGCCAAAGGGCCGCAAAAGCTGGCGGAGCCGAGTGGCGCGCCGAAAGCGGCGGCGGCCAAGCAGGCAGCCCCAGAGGGAGCAGCCAGCGCAGGCCCCCAAGCAAGGAGGGGCGGGCCTGGAGAGGGCAGGCCGAAATCGGCCAGCAGCAGGGCAACGGGGCGGGCGTGGCGTAGGGTGTTCCGAGAGCGCCTGCGGGTTGCCCCGGCCAGGGGTTGGGCAGAGCGGCGGGCAGGGGGACAAAGCGAGGGGGAGGGGCCCGGAGGAAGCGCTGGCTAAGCGGGCCTGGGAGGGGTTCAACCGACCAAAGCCAGCGCGGGGTGGCCCGTGGCGTGGAGCGGGGAGCTGTGCGTCACAGCAGCCCAATCGAGAGGGGACGTGACGGGCGATGGCCGCCGCGGGTGCCATCGTGGATGCGTGTGAGGTTGAGCCCAGGCGCGGGCTGGCGCCAGAGCAGCGGGGGGGCCCCACTGAGTCAGGAGCAGCGCGCGCAGAAACATGTCGCGGTCAGCGGACGTGGGCGTCACCTATCACCGACGTCGGCGCGGGTACTGCGGGTAAGACGGCCTGGACACCAGCCGCTACCTCGTGACTGGGCCATCGATAGAGCCGACGTCCTCCTCGCGAGGGCCCAGGGGAGGGGGAGCGTCGGCGAGGGCGGAGACGCTCAGGCGGTCGAAGACCTCCTCAAGCCTCGCGGCTGAGTAGACGGTGGGCGAAAGCAAGGTGGTGCCAGGGATGTTGGGCCCGCCTCTATCTTGGTCCATTGTCCAGAGCCTCCACTCAACTTTGTCATGCGCTCTTGCGCGCTGCCACCTTCGCAGTGGTGCGCGACCTTGTGGGCCAGAAAGCGTTGTACCCGAGCGTCTTCCGACTCAGCAGCGGAGCCAGATTCGGGGCAGGGCGCGGCGGGAGCGAGGCGCGCGGGGCAGGGGTTCGAGGGGGCACGCGGGAGACCACCTGCGCAGAGGAGCGAGACCATTCCGTCCCACGTCGCTGCCCCCGTACACTCAAAAATTCAAACATTCGTAGTGGGGGCGACGGCGAGTGCTGGTTCCCTAGGGAGCAGATGGGGGCTCACCATCGGGGCGCAAGCAGCAGGGGGCGGCGCCAACCGAGGTCTGCCAGTCCTGGCAGCCACGGGCTTGGGAGCCACGTGGGGCTGGCCCCCGTCTCCCCGCTCCTCGCTGATCCCGGTTTGCCCAGACGTCCAACGTCGCGGGTTTGCCAGGGCCACCACGAGGGTGCGGAGTTTGTCGCGCTTCGCGGTCTGGGCGATTTCAGAGCGAGGCGAGGCTCGCAAAGCGCAAAAGCAAGAAAATAATCGCGCTTCGCGCTTCGCGAGGATACTTTGTTGCTCGAGTGTTCTCACACCCTGCTGAGCGGCCGGTCGGGCGTCTTAAGTCTATCGTGAAGGCTTGACGGCCGGTGCCGCCGACCCTGAAAGACATCGGCGACGACCAGGAGGGGGAGGAGGAGCAGGAAGAGGAGGAGGAGAAGGAGGAGGAGGAGAAGGAGGCGGAGATAAGGAGGAGGAGGAGAAGGAGGAGGAAAAGGACTCCCCACTGGGCGCCCCCCCCCCTGGGGAGGAGGACCGGAGGAGGACCGGCGTGGGAGAAGGAAGGGGAGGGGGAGGAGGACCCCAGAGACGGATGCGTATCTGACTCCCCTGCCACTTGGGACTCCTCCCTACCTTGGGAGGAGGACCCGAGGAGGACCGGCGCGCCGTAAATAAGACGAGCAGTAAGAATACAATTATGAATCGTAGTAGTGGTAGTAGTAGTAGTAGTAGTAGTAGTAGTAGTAGTAGTAGTAGTAGTAGTAGTAGTAGTAGTAGTAGTTGTTGTTGTAGTCGTAGTCGT